TGTCCAGATGATGTGTTGTGGAACTGTGCACCTGAAACCTGTATAGTGTTAACCAGTGTCACCTCAATAAATTAAATGAAAAGGAAAATAAATAAAAATTAAAATAAAACCCCAGACATTTATTTCTCACAGTTCTGGAGGTTGGGGAATCAGATATCAAGGTACGGGAAGATTGGTGTCTGGTGAGGGCCCACTTTTTGATTCACAGACAGCCAGCTTCTTATAGTTTCCTTCTGTGGGGTCACTAGCCTGGCCCATGTGGCTAAATGGCTGATGTCAACCCATGAGAGAGGTCACAATTCAGTTCCCGGCCAGGGCACATGCCCACGTTGCAGGTTCAATCCCCAGTTGGGGGCGTGCACGAGGCAGCTGATTAATGGTTCCCTCTCATCACTGTTTTGTTTGTTTTTCTTTCATTGATGTTTCTCTCTCTCCCTCTTGCTTCTTCTCTGTAATCAATTAAAAAAAACAACATCATAAGGGCACTAATCCCATTTATGAAGGCTCCATTCTCATGATGTAATCTCTTACCAAAGGCTCCACCTCCAAATACCATCCACACAGGATTTCAACACATGAATTGGGGTTTGGGGAGACACAGACGTTTGGTCTATAGCATAAGCACGTGAAAAGACACTTCTCGTTAGTCATTAGGGGAATTCAGAGTCAAACCGCAATGAGATGCCACTGCACACTAACGAGAATGTCCCAGATTAAGAAGCCCAACAGTGCCAAGTGTTGGTGAGGGTGTGGAGGCACTGGAACTCAGAAATATGCTGCCTACGTGCTCAGCACTTCTCATGGGTTTAAGTTGCCTTTCAACGTGTTTTCCCTCCTGAAGTGAATGTTCTTCTGAAAAAAGGTTGGCAGTGTCTTACAATGTTACAACTACCATACGATCCAGCTATTCCACTCCAGCTTCCTCCGTGGGAGAACTGGGATTCCCGAGCATACCCTCATCCTGTGAAGAACAGCCCCGCTACAGCCACCATCCCATCTGGGTCAGGGGCGGGAGCTGCCATGGTTACCATGTTCAAGGACTTCTTGGCAAGAAGCTCCTGAGTGCTTTTTTTTTTTTTTCCACTAAAAACCTGTCCTTGGAGCTTTTGCCATCTGACCAACTCTGTCGTTTATTTGATTAACTGAATGATTTTTGACCAAGGGCAAAAATATGAGGAGAGCCCCAAACTGCTCGGGCAGGTATGAAATGTTAGAGGAGAAAAGAAACAAAATGCGTTAGAAGACTGACTTTTTCATGAACGAGAAATGTGAGCATCACCGTCTCAATTTACCGTTGGGCTGGAGGCAACATTTACTGGACACTGAGTGAGTTAATTAAGGAGAAATCGCAACTAAACCCAACTTAAGGAGTGCTGCTGGCTCTTGCTCCGGGGCCCCCTCTTCTCTGTCTGCTCTCCCCCAGGATGCAGGTGCTGGGGGGGGGGGCTCACTGAATTGCCTCTCCCCCCTCCGAGAATCACACCCCAAGGAAAACCATCCAGTAAGACAAACTTCCAGGAAGGGGCACTGTCACCTCAAAGTTCTGGAGACCTCAGATACCAGAGCCAGGTCCAAGACCTAGGAGACTGTTCTAAAGCCTCACCTTCTTATCTGGACAGGACGTGGGGGCCCAGACTTGTTCTGGCTTTTCCAGCTGTCTGACTTTGGGGAATTTACCCAAGCTCACAGAACATGTTTTCTTTTTTAATTTTATTGACTATGATATCACATAATTGTCCTCATCCCCCCATTCCCATCCCAAATCCCTCCCCACATATGCTCCCAACCCACTGGCTAGGCGCATATGCATGCACACAAGTCCTTTGGTTGATCTCTCCTCCTTACTCCCACCCTCCCCTACTTTCCCTCTGCGGTTTGAGAGTCTGATCGCTGCTTTCTCTTTGAACATCAGTTTTCTTATTCATTGATTCAATGTATTATTATGGAGTGCCTGTTATCTGCCTGGCACAAGGAATAAACATTATTAATTTAAACAATTGGCTAGTTACCTGAGTAAATATTACTGGCTTGGAAATAATAAATATAAAGTGAGCGGTGTGTGTTAGAGAGCCCGGGAGATCTCATCATGTAGACGTGAGAGAATAGAATGTATCTGTATTAGTCTCTGTCCCCAGCTCCTGGCACACAGCTCCTAAGACCTTAGTAATTTCCTAGGACGCAGCCCTCTCCAGACATTAGAACAGAAACCTTCTGTTCTAATATTTTGTCTTTGACTCTGGATCCTGACAGGAGGCTCCTAAATCGCTTCGAATTTCCTGGGAAATTCCTTTCAAGAAGAGGGCAGACACAAAGGGAGAAGTTGGCCATGTGACGGCAGAGGCAGAGACTGGGTGATGCAGCCATGAGCCAAGGAGTGCCAAGGATTGCCAGCAAACACAGGAAGCTAGGAAAGACCAAGGAGGGCCCTCCCCTGGAGCCTTCTAGGAGAGCCTTGAAACACCTGGATTTCAGACTTCCGGCCTCCAGACTTGACAATGGATTCCTCCTATTCTCAGCCACACAATCTGCGGTGCTTCACTGTGGAAGCCCTGGGAAATTCACACACTGGGGCTTTAAAAAGGTCCACCCACCCAGTTTGAGGGGAGTCCAAGTGGATGAGGGCTGGCCAGTCAGGAATACAGTGCAGCTGTTCCCAAAAGAGATGACGGTGCCTCTGGCTAGGGTGGTGAGAGTGAGGTGTGGAAAGAAGACAAGTCCAGGAATGCTTAGGAGGTGACATCTATTGAGAGACTACTCAAGTGGCAAACATTGAAACGTGGTCTTCAGACATGTTCAGGAGCTTTGTCACCGACAAGGTGGGCACAGGCCGTGATGGCACCTAGGACAGGCCAGTGAGTCAGGAGATGGGTGAGGCCAGTGTGGGTGGAGAGATGCCACGGGACTACGGAAGCAGCAGGTGATTGGTGGGGGCCCTGGGTGGAGGAAGTCAGTGGGTTAAGAGGCACCTTGGGGATCTGCATTAAAGCAGGTGGTCAGCTGGAGCATCAAATATCTGAGGGTCCAGGGCCATTGTCCGTGTAACAAAGCCCAAATACACACCCTGGCTTCCCGGCTGCAGACATTGCTAGCCGATCCCAGCATCCACTCCGTCCATGCTGGAGCAGAATGGGCACAGAAGATAGCCTCGCAATCCCAGGACAGGGGTGGGGTTCAGCAGGGGACGCAGCCCTCTCCAGACATTTGCAGATCTGCACTTGGTCCCCTGATCTTCAGAGGAACTGGGAAGATGACAGAGCAGGTGCTTGCAGGACTCCTATTTTCAGAGGAAGCTGAGGCCCAGAAGCCCACAGCTGGCATAAAGGACAGAGCTGGGCTTGAATGAAGATCCATTTCCAAACCTTCCTCCTGCTCTTTCCTGGGAGTGGTTGTGACTTGGCGGCCAAAATAATGAAGACTACTGAACCAGCATTTTTTAAATTGTGGTAGAATACACATAGCACGAACTTCACCATTTTAACCGCTTTTAAGTGTACAGTTCTGTGGCTTTTCCTGTTGATGTGCAATCATCATCATCATCCATCCACAGAACTCGTTCATTTTCCTAAATTGAGATGGACTTGACCAGTAGTCACCATCCCCCTCCCCAACCCCCGACACCCGCCCTTCTACTTTCTGTGTCTGCAAAATTGGCTCCAGATGCCTCATATTAGCGGAATCATGGGTTATTTGTCTTTTTGTGTCAATCATTTTCACCCAGGATTGCGCACAGTGAAATTCAAGTCATAATCTTGGCCGGCGTGCTGATTTAAATGACGTTTACTAACTCTCTGCTATCTTTATTTTCTACCAGAAAAACATGTGTCTTGGTTTAACTCATATGCAGGTTTTTGTGTGTGTTTTTTTAAAATCTCTATGGACAATCATAAAGCCTTCCCTGGGAGGGGAAAAAAGGCTCAGAGAGTTTCCATGACAACTTAATGTCAGAAACCTAAATCAAAACTCTTGAGACTTATTTTCAGAAACTGTTTTCTAAGAGTTAGGCAAGTTGATGCTGGCTAATAATCCTGTTTTCAAGTTGAGTTTTTGGGTGGTGTGTGTGTGTGTGTGTGTGTGTGTGTGTGTGTGTTTGCGTGTGCATGTGTGTTTGCTGTTTTTATGTATCTACTCATTAAATAATAACAGGTCAGGCACGATGCTAGTGGGCACTGGGCCACACAATGTGGGCAGGACAGAAATGGCGCTTGGCCCAAGCTTTGGTAATTTAAGAAATGCTGTCGCTGTTCCTGAGAGAAACTTTTATTGTTAGCACGAGCTGAAGTCCGATGCTGGGCTGGGGGGCAGAGAACAGACTTGGGGCAAACTGAAGATGACCAATCAGATGGCACTGCCCACAGAGGAGTCTGGGGCCTCTGCCTTGAGCCCCTGAGTTGTCTCCTTCTAAGCCACCGAATAGCTCTGGTTACAACATGGTTTTTGACTTTAAAAAGAAGGAAATCCTGGCATGTTACCGTTTGGATGAACCTTGAAGACATGTGCAAGTGGAACAAGCCATCACAAGAAGACAAGCAGGCCATGGTTCCATCTGTAGGAGCACCTAGTGCAGTCGGACTCCTGGAGGCAAAGAGCAGATGGTGGTTGCCAGGGGCTGGGAGGAGGGGAATGGGAGCTCTGGTCCAATGGGCACAGAGATCAGTTTTGCAAGATGAACAAGTTCTAGAGATCTGTTGTACAACCAGCCACATGCCTCTGGTTAATGCTACTGTCCTGCAGGGATACTTAAAATGTGTTTATTTACTGCAATTAAAAAACAAAAGAGTCTAGCACAGCCCTGGCCATAGAGGGGCCTCAATGTTTGCTCAATGCAATCATCTTGCTGGCTCCAGTCCTGGCCTGACATTTTTGCTGCCAATGTTGGTTATGGGGTTGGGAATGGTTGGTGGTTCGCCCTCCGCTGCCTTTTTAGTGTGCGCAACTTAAGATACAGCGGGGAGATAGCAAAGTCAAGGCTTTTCTAGAAAGCCATCTACCCGGGATCGTTCATGTTCTGGACAAGTTCTGTGTCCAGCCGACACACTGACTGTGAGTCTCACTATGGACGGAGGTCGGCCTCCCACGGCCACAGTCTGTTAAAAACAAACCTGCGTCAGGAGGCAACCATTACATCTGGGTGCCCTTTATAATTTACGGATCACCCCACGTGCGCCCACCTCATTTCGGCCGCTTTCTGGCCTCCAGTGCCTTCTCCAGGCGTCACCAGAGGGGTGTGTTTGCAGAACTGACGCCTTCGTTAAGGCTTGTTTTTAAAAATTGGCTGTACCCACCCACCTTTCCTTGAGATATAAATAGAAAAAAAGGAGGCTTAATTAGTAAGGCAAGACATTCGAGCTATGTCCACTTGATCCTCGAAAAGGAAATCTAAGAGGTTCTTACTATCACTTTTTCAATCCTATATAAGGTAGGTCGGTAAGGACGCAAACGCACATCCGTTTTTTTGCTCCTTCAACTCTTTTTTCTGAATTTTCTTGGGGGAAAATCTAAGACGGTGAGTAGCTGGTGGATCCACCAGACCCCAGACTCTTCTTTCCTCCACGCATTCTTGTTAGGCTGGTGCGTGCTGCGCTCAGATTTCTCTGTTCCCATGGAGTTGACACCTGGGGGAATTCTGATCTCCGGAAGATGGGCTTTTCACGTCTCTGATTCCCATCCTTCTGGAGAAATAGCATCTCTCCCAGAGAAGGTCTATCCTTTCCCACGTGGAATTTGCAACATCGCATTTCTCTGGCGGGTGTAGGAAGATGCTATTGCAACTGTAACGTGCTTTACTTGGGAATGGTTTGTAGATGCTTATATAAGAGGTCAATTATGTAAATGTAATTTTGATAAGAAAATGAAATCAAACTGGTTTTCATCTTTGGAGTATATTCGGGAGAGGGCCCTGAGACAAAGATGGCTGCGGTCTTTCCAGTATTTGGTTTCTGTTTGGATATTCTGTCCCATCACTTAATACCACGCTTATTACATTTTTAAAATTCTCAATGAATGTACTGTTTCCACGGGCTAAAGAGGGGGGACTCCCCCAAGATGAGCCTGTTCCTGCGCCCACTCACCAGATGCCCCTTCTCCCGTGCGGACAGGTGGACAATGAGCATCACAGACGTCCTCAGCGCGGAAGACATTGCGGCCGCCCTGCAGGAGTGCCAAGGTAAAGGGCAACTGAGGCACGGGCGGGTTTATCCCTGGTGCTTGCACTTCCGGCAAAGCCACAAAAAATTAACACGTGAACTTTGCCGAAAGTTCATGAGATCAGAGAATAAAACTGTTACTAACTAAGATTACGGGGACATGAGATCTCATTTCTGTAAGGCGAGAGAAACGCACAGTGAGAAAAGAGGTCAGTGGCTGCTATGTACCTGTTTGACTCCAACAATCGCATTCCCCTCCCCGAGGAGGCCAGGATGCCGGGGGCTTGGGGACACGGCCTGTAAAATGGGCAGAGAAGGCACAGGGGAGAAGAGAGAGATGGGGGAATCAGTGGAGAGAAAAGCTGGGGTGGAGGGCAGCAGATGATACCCGAAGCCACCCAGTCTTGGCTGCTTAAGAATCTTGAGCCAGTCGCAGCCCTCTTTGTCTATAAAAAGATCTATTTTTTTTTGAGCAGAGCATCGTTGTGGCTCAATGACACCATTGTTTTTAATAACCCATGCTTTCAGCATCTTGGCCAAATATGGGATGCGGTCCAGTGAGCACCGGAATAACCCTTTCTCTGTTCTTCAGACCCAGATACTTTTGAGCCCCAAAAATTCTTCCAGACATCGGGCCTCTCCAAGATGTCGGCCAGCCAGGTGAAGGATGTGTTCCGGTTCATAGACAACGACCAGAGTGGCTACCTGGATGAAGAAGAGCTGAAGTAAGCTTTGTCCCGAGCTTGTCTGGCGCTGCTGGTGGGGCTGGGGTGCCGTGGAGGCCAGCTGCTCGGCATTTCTTCATGGGAAGGACTGGAGTCCGCGGGCCACATGTGGAAACATGGGCACCTAAGACTGGCAGGGCCAAGAGGAACTGGTTTTAGGGGTTTTCTTTGGCCAATGGACTTAGCAACAAAACTCTTGAAAAAAACTCTCTGAAACAAAATGCCCAGCAAACACTTTCTACAATGAGGGAGAACTTTGCTTGCTCAGACCTTGACTGATGCCCGAAATTGCTGGGAGCAGGTGGTTTGTCGCTTCAGGAGGAAAAGAAAGGGTAAGAGGGGCAGTGCCTGGACTTTCAGAAAATCCCCCGGGTCTCTGTTATCCTGTAGGTTTTTCCTCCAGAAGTTTGAGAGTGGTGCTAGAGAGCTGACCGAGACAGAAACCAAGTCCCTGATGGCGGCTGCAGATAATGATGGAGACGGGAAAATCGGGGCTGAGGGTAAGTTCACACCTCACAGACCATAAAAACACTAGCTCAAGGAGCATCAGGGCACTTGGGCCGTGAGATCAGATGGATGTGGGTTAAAAGCCCCCTTTCTTAACCTTGCTGAGCCTCCGTCTTCTCATCTGTGAAATGGGACTAAAGTGAGGGTGCAATTGATGTAAGGAAAGACTGCCACTGCCTGAGGCTGTACCATGGAAGCTGGTCCCACTGGCCACTGTCTATGAACCAGGAAATATCCTTTACCTGACTAGGGGACTAGGGAGTTGCCTGGCCAATTATTTGCAAGACAGCTTGGTTTGCTTTGAAAATAAGGAAAGGAATCCCCACCCGAGGCATTTGAGCCCCTCTGAGCGAGGGAGGGATCCACATTCTCAAGAGTGTCTCATGCTTAAAGGGCCTATTGTCTAGAGCAGGAAAGCCTCTTAGCTTTAAGAGCTTAAACAAATACGTTTTATTGGATTTCGCCCACAGAATGGACAATGTTACCCAGAGACCACATAACAGGCTGAAACCCCATTCACGGAGTCTTCTGTGAACCCCACTTGTAGCACACTTGTCTGGTGCAGGGTGTGTTCACAGGATTCTGTCCTGCTGCTCGTGTGTTCGCTAGCTACTATGCGCATGCCAATGCAGAATGGATGTGTGGCCTTACGGTGGTATTCTCCTGAAATTAAAAACTGCTCCTTTAGATGCTTATTTTAAAAATCTCATCCACGTGATGCCAGGATTCCTGTGCACACACACGGGGAGGTGGTGTCGCTTCTAGTCTGGGTAAGGAGAGATTGATTTTTTCCAACCTAACCATGAAAGACTTCCAAACAGGCAAAGCTTCCTAGTAAATACGAAGTAAATCCCGTGTTCGATTCCTATCCGGGGCGTCTACGTCATTATTAGTAATATTATTATTAACTTTCAGTAATATAAACTGTTGGGGGCATGGTAAAGATTCAAAGAGAAAAGTGAGTTACAATTCTCATCTTATTAAATGTTTCCAAAACTGCAAAATGTGGCTAAAGAATAGAAGAAAACCTCCCATTCTGTCCTAAACTGACCAGACGAAAAGGTAAAGTTCACGGACTGTGATTGGCCGTTGTACCGAATTCACTCATGGCCAAGGAGGGGGGGCAGGGGGAGGAGGGGGGGGCAGGTTCTAACACAGGGGCTCTGAGCACAGCTACAGGAGGTGCTTACAGGAGACCAGGCAGGAGGAGGAGACACTCAGACCGCCTGCATGTGGTCGGTGCGCTCACACTTCCTTCCTTCTGTGACCTTTGAGGGGCCATGCCCACCACCTGACATTTGCTCCCTTTCTTTCCTCTTCAGAACTTTCTCGGGCCACAGTGTCTGTAAGGGGCTGGGCCATCCCCACTGACCCTGTTCTCACCTCTTCTGTTCTAGAATTCCAGGAAATGGTACATTCTTAAAGAGCCCAGACCTTGGAGATAGACACAATCAGCTGGAAGGCCTCCAAAACCCCAGGAAAATGGGAAACCCCACATCTCCCCCTAATTTATTTATTTACTAACTTCCCGCGGTGTTTAGTGAGTAACAGACTTTTCGGCGGTGGGTTTGCCCTAATGACTCCCGGGAGGCCCTCAGCAGAAACGCCTTTATCATCATCCAATAAAGACACGTTTTCATCACCTGCTGGTGTGTGGGTGTGGTTTTTTCTCAGGAAGGGAGCCGGATGAGAGCACTTAGGGAACTCTTAGAGATGCCTGGTCCCAGCAAGCACTAAGCAAGCAGCGTTTGTGCTGTGCATGAGCGAACAGAGAAAACAGGTTGGAAAAAAATGTCACAGACAAGTTGGCACTGGCAAGCTAGGTTTTTCTCTGCGATTTATCCGCGTCAGAGAGTAATAGGGAGGGGTTTTAGACAGCATAAATCTGCTCTCGCTTATGTGCTTTCTGCCACTGGGTGTTAGGTTTCCATAAGAGAGCTTTAAGGAAAAGCAACTAGGACAAGGCAGAAAAAAGTGGGAGGCCACGGTGGGGGGTGAGGCCCAGGAGGCTGACCATGCTAGGTGAGCACAAGCAGACCCATTTTCAAACCTGTTGTTTCGTTTTCTTAAAAAACAAGCTGAGACTTTCCTGTTCTGACCTGACTCCTGCTGCTCCCCCCCTTTCTCAGCCCTATTTTCCTGGCTTCTATTTGATGCCACCTGAACCAATTACACCGAGAATTGCCTAACATCCGAGGCGAGCTGGGGGGTCCTGTTACAGGCGGTATGGGGGAGGGGGGCGGTCTCGGGCCAGGAAACTCTCCCTGGGCTGCCTTCCAGGTGGCAGGCTGACGCTCTGCTCCGGCTGCCCGCCCCGGAGGCCCAGGGCTCCTGGGAGGAACTGGGCATTTCTCTGGGCACCCTTTTAAAAACTCAGTCTGAAGGCCCTGGGCTCTTCCATCATTCAGTGACCGTGAACCCCCGGCTTTTAGGTCATGTGAGCGCAGCTTTTAAAGTCTGGGGGCGTAGACTACTGGGGGGGGCCTCAAAGTGACTTTAGAGGGGCAGGGTGAACACTTGTTTAACAACCACGTGTTTAATTTATGAGCATTAGAGAGAACAAGCCCGAACACGTGGCTCCAGTATCTGAGACCAGGCTAAGGGGAGCAGGAGACTTTGGAGAGCACAGCGACCTGAAAGACAAGCATCAGTGGGGATGGGATTCAGGGGACAAAACCACAAAGGCAATTTTCAAAAGAGTCAAAATGGGGAAACACAGCTGGAAAGTGAATAAGTCTTTGGGGAGAGCCGGACAACCAAACTGTCACTTTGTGGCGGCTCCTCCATTGCCTCCCTGCACACCCCTGTACTCCACCCTCTCCTCGCCTCACCCCTGCCTGCACTCCATCCTCCTCTCACCCCCTGCCTTCCTCTTGGCTTGTGAAAATGTCCCCCAGACTGCATTTGTCAATCCCTCGAAATAGGAGGGCCTTCCTGGCCTCTGCTGACCTCTGAGGCTTGATTCTTAAAGCAGACGCATTCTGCCCTCACCTCCCACCATACGCAGATGCGCAGATCCTCCCCTTCCTCAGCAAAGGCAGCCTCTGAGTAGCTCCAAGTGATCCCACAGCCCTTCCACCGCAGGGCTCTGGCCACTGTCTGCTTCAGAGAAACATGTGAATGTTGATGCTTAAAAAATAACGGTGGTGAGCTGTTAATTGGTCATTAAAAGCCAGCACCACCCTCTGGACCAGCAGAGGCCGTCTCACCCCCCCAATCGAAGCAAAGATCCTGGGTTTCTCTTCTTTCCTCTCTGCCATTCTCTGTATGAGAATCACGGCCAGAAGGGTCCTTCGGGGCACGGGGCGCCGTGCCATTGGGGCACACTGACGTTCTGCCTCGGGGAAAATGCTTAGAGGACAGATGTATACGAGAGGATAAATTGCCACAAATTGTCCATAGAGTGATGGTCAGCTCTTCATGAATTTGGTTCATTCTACTGTTTCAAAAGTATAATTCAAATTACTTTTGCCCATTTTAAATAGAGTACTTTTTCATTTTTCCAACCCAGTTTTAGGAAATGAATTTTAGAGTCTCTGCCAACAGACAAGAAGTAGCAATCAAAGGAGACATCTTTCTGTGTTTAACACCCAAAAAGTGCCGGGTGGTGTGCTTAAATGAAACAATAATCTTGTCTTTACCCATATCAATGTTTAATTATGTCATTTGGATTTGGGTGTTTTGGGGAGCGGGGTGGGCATTCCATTTCTGAATACAGGTAATAACAGCTCTGGGAGTTTGATCATTTTTGTTAATTAGCACTGTTTTTTGTTTTGTTTTGTTTTGTTTTGTTATTTTTCTAGGTTTAAATATCGCAAAAACAGTAGCATTTCCAAATCTTTGGTAAAGTATGATTTGAAAACAAAAACAAAAAATGTTTTCAGAAACTACTCAACTTTAGTCATTATATAAATTTCATGCAAAGCAAATGGGTCCTATTCAGTATGTCCCTCACAGAAAAAAAAGAGCGAAAGGATATACAGCAAAATGCTAACAGTATGACCGCCAGCTGGGAGGATCACAGAACAGTGAGATAAGACTGGGGCCTTTTTAAAAGCAGCGCTGAGTAATTACAGAACACTCAACACAAAGACGCAGAATTCACTCAGTTATTCACACCGAGCCAAAGGAACAAATTCTGATTTTAATAAGGCCCTGCATACTTACCATGTTCCTGAAATTTTTACTTAGTTCTTTTAGACTCAACTGTAATTCTATATGCCAGGGAACATTTTTAAATATAACACATCCAGAGTCAAATCAAAACTGGAAAAACCCTAAATAAAATCCCAACAACCCAGGAAAGGACTTGACAGGCATCTAAACAACTTCACCTTTGTGGCTGTTTGCTCGGCTGGCCTAGCTTGCAGGTGCCCGCCGACCTGCCTGGAGGAATCATGTATTCTGCCTTTGAAACGAGGGTCTGGGTGGCATTATGGGGACAGAAGTCATGTCTATTCTTTTTCCTGATTGCTTATAAAATAGGGAAGTAACAGTACCTTTAATTTGGACTGTTTTTACTTATCACTTTGTCTCATACTTTATAATAAACAGAACATGATCACAATGCCAGCTTCATGAATGCTCCATCATTGCTGAGGCTCATAAGAAGGATTAAAATATGTCAACTATCATTGGGTGTTTGGCTTCAGGACAGCATATTATAAAATACGTGCATGATTTTTTTTAATGTGTAGGCTTTCACAGCCCCTGCCAGCTCAAATAGAGAGTGTAGCCAACAGGGGAGGTTTCTAAAATACTTGTCTGTTGGTTTACAAGCTCCATAGCTCATTCTGCATAACGACTGCAGTTTAATGTTGTGTAATGAGTACCCGAGAATCCAATTTCAAGCAAAAACCTATCTTCTATCTCCTCTGCTCATGCTCAGGGGTGGGATTACTGTGCAAACACTTAAGAAGACAGATGAAATTGGAATCACCAGGATCGCTTCCACTGGGCCTGTTAATTTATTCACTGGGAAGGCTATTCATTTACATAATGTTGTAACTGGCTTCCAAAAGCAACTTTTTTGGCCAGGGAGTGGATTTTTACATCATTTGCATAGGACTTCTACAATGAATATATGGGTTCATACCTTAAATTGCTTTTGAGTCGTAAAGTATTTGAAGCAGTCAGATGGGAATATGCAGAGACATAAACACCTGTGTACCTATCCTCCTCACTTGATGGAATCTTGATGTGAATTGTCTGGTGGCTTGGTAACCTGTCAACTAGCGTAGGCTGTAGGTACCGTTAGGCTGGGCCACAAGAGCCATTTGGCCTGAGATTTGGAGGGTGGGGGAGAAGCAACTGTCGGAGTATTTATCCTCCGGAAGTCCGTGTGGGGTGGTCACTTACCTTCCAGCTCCCCTCCTTGGTGTGGGCTCCTCCTTCAGCTCCCAGCTCCAGATGTAGGTTTCCTTCAGTGACGAGGGACACCGGCTTTACCTGGAGGACTCCCCATTATCGGAGTTGGGGGTGTGGGACACTGACATGAATTCCAGTCTGTCCTCCTGGGTCCCAGCCTGTCTTCATTCTCTCTCTTTATATCATCGTCCCTTCCTGACTGCCTGCTCTGCAGACATACAAAAAGTAGGTTTATAGTTGTGAGTGCACAAAACAGTTTATTCTTGTATTATTAATTATTAACTATTACAGTATTAGTGTCCCAGTGCACAGATTCATGCATACTGAAAGGAAATTAAGTAGAAGAAATATTTTAATATTGCTATTCACCTTTTCTCTATAATAGAAGTGTTAACCAAATTTGCGATTGACAATGACAGATGCAAACACACAGGTATGATTGATGCCAGCAAGAGCTTTATTATATCACACATGTGTGAGTCAACTTAGCCTTTAATTAGACCTGCTTTCTGATTTAGCCATACTTTTTCCAGCCCAGTGAAGCCCCCCAACTTCTCTTTCAGATAATTGTCAGCAACACAGCAGTAAATATCAACACAAAGCAGATGATTATTATAGATCACACAGGGAGAACGAAGGGTAAAATATTTAAGTGCAGCAGTGTTTGATTATATTCTGCACAGTGAGAAAACCTGGATTCATTTCCAAGTTCCACCATTTATTACTTCTTTTCAGTCGGGTCAAGTTTCTAAACTTTCTAAATCTCTGTTTTTTGACGAATTAAAAGAAAATAAGATTCTACCGAGTCCTCTATCTACCTACTCCAGGACTTCTGTGAGGATCAAATGAAATGAGACGTTAGAAAATGCTTCACAGACATTTGGTTGAACTGTAAAATGTTTGCACCTGGCTATAAAGTATATTGGGTTCCTGGGTTGAAGAAACTCCAAGGAGGCTAGTGGCTAGGGAGAGAAAGCTGGGCGTTGCTATGTGACGTCATTACCTGGTGCCCACAACCACTGTTTCTGGGCGGGCTGGGTTGTAGGCTGCATTTTGCGTCATAGGGTCTTGGCAGTATTGACTGTGATTTGGTGGAGTGTTGTTCCAGGATGGTGGCAGGGTCTGGGTCCCATTTGGGGGAAGCCAAGTGTTGGTTTGTTGGTGCCAGGTGCCCCCTGGTGGTCAGTATGCATCATAGCTACCAGTTGGAGGGGAGGGCAGACACTTGGCCTTTTATATATATAGATTTATTTGTATTATGTCTTTTTATTATATTATTATTTCATATCCTTATCTATGATTTATCTTTTGGGTAATGATAGTTGGTGGTTTAACCTACTTTGCCCACCCCTATAAATGACAATATATTACATGGTTACATAATAGCTTAATTCACGTAATAAACACCTAAAAATCACATTATATATAGAATACATATATATGAATACATATATACATATATATATATTATATATTGTCTAGTAGTTCTTGTTCTCTGATTGAACCCTGACTTAAGAGAGTTTGCTCCAGATTTTTTTTGGTGTTTTTTTTTTTTTTTAATATATTTTATTGATTTTTTACAGAGAGGAAGGGAGAGAGCTAGAAACGTTGATGAGAGAGATACATCGACCAGCTGCCTCTTGCACACCCCCTATCGGGGATGTGCCCACAACCAATGTACATGCCCTTGACCAGAATCGAACCTGGGACCTTTCAGTCCGCAGACCGATGCTCTACCACTGAGCCAAAACGGCATCGGCCAGATTTTGTATTTTTTAAAAAAATATATTTTATTGATTTTTTACAGAGAGAAAGGGAGAGAGATAGAGAGCTAGAAACGTCAATGAGAGAGAAACATCAACCAGTTGCCTCTTGCACACCCCCTACCAGGAATGTGCCCGCAACCAAGGTACATGCCCTTGACCGGAATCGAACCCGGGATCTTTCAGTCCGCAGACCGCTGCTCTACCACTGAGCCAAACCGGTTTCGGCCAGATTTTGTATTTTTAATAAAAAGTATCACACATTAACCTTTTACTGGATTTGTGGTTTGCAAATATTTTCTATTCCATTGGATGACTTCATTTTGTTGATGGTTACCTTTGCTGTGCATAAGCTTTGTAGTTTATTTTTTATTGTTTCATGTACTTCTTGTATCAGCTCCAAAAAATCACTGCCATAACCAATGTCAAGGAGCTTACCTGTTTTCATCTAGTTTTATGGTTTCACCTTTTATGTTCAAGTCTTCAATCCATTTTGAATTGATTTTTTATGTATGGTGCAAAATAGAGATCCAGTTTCATTTTTTTGCATGTGGCTATCCAGTTTTCCCAACACCATTTATTGAAGAGACTACCCTCTTCCCAATATCATTATTGGCTCCTTTGTCTTAAACTAATTGACTATATGTGCATGGGTTTATTTCTGAGCTCTCTATTCTGTTCCAATGATCTTGTGTGTTTTTATAACACCATATTGTTTTGATTACTATAGTTTTGCAATGTAATTTGAAATTAGGGAGTGTGAGGACTTCAGTTTTGCTCTTCATTCTCAAGATTGCTTTGTCTATTCAAGGTCTTTTGTGGCCCCATATGAATTTTAGGATTGGTTTTTGTGTCCATAAGAATTACCATTGGAATTTTGATAAGGATTGCATTGAATTTATAGATCACTTTAGGTAGAATGGGTATTTTAACAATATTAATTCTTCCAATCCATGAACACAGAACATCTTTCCATATATTTGTGCCTTCTTCGATTTCTTTCATCAGTGTTTTATAATTTTCAGTGCATAGATCTTTCACCTCCTTGGTTAAATTTATTTCTCAGTACTTTCTTCTCTTTGGTTGTTTTAATCCTCACCCAAAGATATTTTTTCCAATGACATTTAGAGAGGATGAAAGGGGGAGAGACAAAGAGAGAAACATGGATGTGAGAGAGACACATCAATTGGCTGCTTCCACTATCACTCCAACTGGGCCAGGGATCAGACTGCAACTAAGGTATGTGCCCTTGACCAGAACTGAACCTGAGACCCCTCATCGGTGGGTTGACACTCTAACCATTGAGCCAAACTGACTAGGGAACTATTTTATTCTTTTTGATGCTAATGTAAATAGGGTTTTCTTACTTTCTCTTTCTGATAATTCATTTTAGCAACAACTGATTTTTGTATACTGATATTGTATCTTGCAACTTTACTGACTTCCTTTATTAGCTCTAAGGGGTTTATGGTGCAATCTTTAAGGTTTTCTATATATAAGATCATGTTATCTGCAAATAGAGACAATTTTATTTCATGATTTGGATGCCTTTTCTTTTTCTTGCCGGATTGTTCTAGGGAGGACTCCTGATCTTAGAGGAAAGCTTTCAACCTTTCACCTGTGAACTGTGGGCTTGTCACATGTGGCCATTATTAAGGGATGTATTATATCAATATATCCCTTCTGTACCGAGTGTTTATTGTTGTTTTTTATCATGAAAGGATGCTGAATTTTGTTGAGTGCTTTTTCTCACCTACTCAGATGATTATATGATTTTGACCCTTCATTTTCTTTTTTTAAAAATATTTTATTGATTTTTTTACAGAGAGGAAGGGAGAGAGATAGAGAGTTAGAAACAGTAGGGGATGTTCCCTTGACTGGAATCAAACCTGGGACCCTTCAGTCCGCAGGCTGACGCTTTATCCACTGAGCCAAATCGATTTCGGCGACCTTTCATTTTCTTAATGTAGTGTATCACATATATTGATTTGCATATGTTGAAAATGTCTTTTAAGAGTAAGTAATTATAGTAATAATTTGTTGAATAATGATTAAATACTGGGTGCTAGATGTCCAATTCAAAGTCCCATTTAATTCTTATAGTGAAGTCTTCCAGAGAAGCCTTTACTATTAGTCATTTTACAAACAAGAGATACACACTGGAAAAAGGTTAGGTAATCAGCCCAAGGTCTCACACCTAGTGAGGGATTGAGCTAGGATCAGTGCTCAGGTCTTTCTCATGTCCAAATTCCAACACTGTGCCCCCAAATGTGAAGACCCATTCTGCCAGGTTGGATAAGAAGTCCTGTTTTTAAACTTAATCTGTGACAGACAACTACTGACTCCAAGAAAAAAATTACTAAAAAGGGCTCTTGGTGGCCAATTTGGCCAAATGTAAAATCAGGGCCTAGCAGCCTTGCCAAACAGGGGCCTTTCACACAGGCTACACTTCCGGGAGGGAGCAGCCTGCACTAAACTGCCCGCTGGCCATCTGAGCCAACCCTTCTAAAGGAATTCCTGGAATCCTATTTCAACCAATAGGACTGAGGCTTTTTCCATGCACTGGGAGCTGCACAGCTGTAGTCCCATCAGCATTTTCATTGACCAATCAGGTGCCTCCATTAGGCCAAATCAGGGCAGTGTTTGTTTTATTTTGTTTGTACCAATCAAACTGAGGATGAGGAGTCCTCATTTGCCCAAGGGAGGGAGCACTTCCTGCTCTGGAAGTCAGATTCTCTCTGACTCAGGGAATGGGCTCTCCTTGTCTACCAAAGATTGTGTTTTCCTGCTGGAGCTGTACCAGGGAAGATGGCCGGCTGGGCCAGGCCAGAGTGGATGAGCAGAGTCTGGCTGTCTGGCCAGAGAGGGGCCAGGCTGGACCACTGGGCTGCCTCACACCTGACCTGCCTCACGGCCCTGCTGTTCCTCCCCTGTGCTGTCCGGCATTTGGGCTGCTTTGAATAAATTCTCCTTCCCTGTACCCCACATTGGGGTTTGCTATTGGAGTTGAACGGATGCCAACAACCGCCAGTTGACAGCAGACAATCTAAAGGTGGCTTAAGGTCTTGAGCGTGGCCAAGCAGTCGGCTGCAGTTCAATCGGCTAGAACTCCAAATCCCAGAAGCAGCGAGCCATTCCAAACCGCGCCATAATCCACAGGACTCAAAAGCTGGAGAGGGCGATGCCCTGGGCGCCGAGGCGCGAGGGACGGGATCCCTGGAGGAAGCCGTGGCTTCCCCCGCGTGGGGCGCACACAGGCCGCCGCGGGCAGCGCCTGCAGATCCGCAGTCTTCCTTCGGCGCCAGGGGCGTGGGGTAAAGAGCTAAGTCCGTCGGTTTGGTTTGAACCACGGTCACCTGAGGTCTCTCAAATTGGAATTTAAAAAAAAGAAGAAAAAAAAGAAAGAAAGAAAAAAAGCAAGAAACACCTTATATGCTCGAGGCGAGGCTGTAGATGACGAGGACGGGCCCGTCTCCGGCGGGACGCACGCACGGGTTTCTCTCAGCTCAGGGCGTCTTTGGCGCCTTCGCGCTCCCTCCCACCCCGGACTCTGCTCCGTCCGTTTGGCCTTCAACAAGCGGCCGTCCCCGTGGCCCAGGCCGGAATCCTGGGCGCAGCCCAACCCCAAAAGCCGCCCTGCCCTTACCTCTCACAGAGGAAACGCCCGCCCAGGAACCAACCCTCTCAGGTGCGCCCGAAGGGGACGCCGCGCTGCGGTTTCTACTTCCGGGCCGACTGCGACCACTTCCGGGGCGACCGCCAGGAGGCGGAAGTGCGGTTTCCTGGAGGCGGCCGTCTCGGGACCGGCAGAGGGAGGCTCCCGAGGCGGGGGCCGGGCCGGGATGGCGGCGGCGGCGGCCGGGGCGGCCCAAGAGAAGCAGCTCCCGCCGGCTCTGCTGAGCTTCTTCATCTACAACCCGCGCTTCGGGCCGCGCGAGGGGGAGGTGAGCGGGGCGGGGCGGGGCGCGGGGCGGGCGCGGGGAGCGGCGGGCGCGCCCGGGAGGTGACCCTCGCCCTCCAGCGCCGGGGAGCACCTGCCCCTCCGCCCTCCCCCAGCGGCTCTACCGGGACCGCTAAGTGCCAGGGGCGCCCGGGCCCGGGAGCCGGCGGGGACTGACAGCGCTGGCAGCCTGTCCGGCTCCCGGGTCAGTGCCCGGGCACTGAAGGAAGAAATGTCGGGTGAATCGCTGCACACGAGTTGAGTCTTTTCTCGTTGCTTGGGTCCTGGGGTGGTTAATTGAGTGGTTGAGTGGTTAATCGAGCTGCTGTCTTTGTTCCTGGAAGTCCCCGACCTAGCAGCGCGGGAGAGCGGCGGACCGCAGCCCTGCGAGCTTGCAGGCTGGAAGGAGGGAGGACCCTCGCAAAGATTTCCAAATTACTGAATGCACCAGTTCCAGGAGTTTTGTGTGTGTTGGTGCTTTAGGTGGGGACGGCGGCTTCCTCAAAGGATGTCCGGAGCAGGAAATCATAGTCCTTGTAAAGGCTGTTTAAATGTCCCTGGACCTGCTGGGTTTGGTTCCCGGGGAGGTGTAAGCTTGTGCACGCGCACGCGCACGCGCTTATTTCTTTGGAGCGTCAGTGTATTTATTACAAATGAGCAGGAGGAAAGAACTCCGGAGACGGAGTGTCAGAGAAATTGCCTAGTGCTACTTCACTGCCGTGTGACTTAATGAGTATCACAATTGTCTTTCAGTCTGATGAGCGTTTTGCACATGGAAACTTTAATTTTTTTGCTTTGGGAATGGTTTTTGTTTTGCCTTTAAGCATATATGATGTTGACATCAAACAGCATTTCCAACAGCTAAGATTTTAAAAATGCTTTATGTTAATGTTGTGGTACTGTTTCTTCATACGTAGGAGGAAAACAAAATTTTGTTTTATTATCCAAATGAAGTAGAGAAGAATGAGAAGATTAGAAATGTCGGGCTATGTGAAGCCATTGTACAGTTTACAAGGTAATGCCTTTCAACGAGCTTCTGCAGAGCTCAGCGAGTTCTTACAGCTTACACCGGCGAATTGTCCCCAACACATCCTTCTCGCCTTTGTAGGACCTTCAGTCCATCAAAGCCCGCGAAGTCTTTACACACACAGAAGAACAGGCAGTTCTTCAATGAACCAGAAGAAAATTTCTGGATGGTCATGGTATTTACATGCACAGCACATCTTTTTGAAATTGTAAAGTTATGAGTGACCTTTACTGTTAAGGATTTAGTCCTCTGGCCATAGCATCAAAGTAAAATTGCAATAAGATTGGTTACAAAAAATTCAACTCCTGTTCAGGATTTGTTCTTAGGGTTGTTTTAAGAAGTGTGTTTTTGTTGTGACAGGTTCAGATATTTAAATTTAGGGAAAATTTTTAAAACGTATGGTTGATTCATTGTATAATTTCATTTTATCAAATTGTGTAGGTTGTTCGGAATCCTATCATTGAAAAGCAAAGTAAAGATGGAAAACCAGTTGTTGAATACCAAGAGGAGGAGCTGTTGGTAATGTCATTCTTTTATTTCATGTTTTTAGAAAAACATTTATTCCTAAGTATGCTGGGTGACTTTCTTGGCCAGTTTTAAGCTACATTGCTTTGCAGAAGTTCCTCAGGGCACACAGGTGAGGTTTTATATCTACTGTTTACATTAGTGAAATCTTATGCAAAGGCAGATGTTCCATGTCTTACGCATGCCTTCTACTCATCATCCATGTGTAAATCCCGCCTACAATCAGGCTTCCTGCTTTAAAATTGAACTTATATATTTATTTATTTTTAAATTATTTATTTTATTGATTTCAGAGAGGAAGGAGAGGGAGAAAGAGAGACAGAAACATCAATGATGAGAGAGAATCATTGATAGGCTGCCTCCTGCACGTCCCCTACTGGAGATCAGGCCTGCAACCCAGGCATGTGCCCTTGACTGAAATCGAACCCGGGACCCCTCAGTCCACAGTCTGATGCTCTATCCACTGAGTCACACCAACTAGGGCATGAATTTAAATACCTCTCTTTTCAGCACACAACTATTGTGGGATCAAGTTTATAAACATTTTGTTGCTTTGCCAACAGTCATTGTACCTCTGCCTACCGTGTAATAGAATTTCCTTTCTATTTGAGACGGGTGCTGTGTCTGTGTTGTTTGCAGGACAAGGTTTATAGTTCCGTGCTCCAGCAGTGCTACAGCATGTACAAGGTAAGAGTGACATTCTTTCTGGATTGAATCTAGCCAGTTACCCCCATTGACAGGGGTTGTTTAAAAATAATAGTTAATTCTTTACATTATTGCATGGTGACTGTGAAGCTGGGTGAGGGGAGGAAATTACGGGACCTCTGAAACAGTATTGAGTTTGTACATACATACACTCACTGAGCTCGGAGCACTTCTCCATTCCTGGCCTTGTACTAGGAATGCGTCCTCATTGGTGAACAAGACAGTCCAAGTTCTTGAGGAAAATGCACACTGTCTGGTTTAAGAAATCTGGTGACGATACTTATGTAAAGTTCAAAGTGGGTATGAGCTGAGGTTCAAAACGTGCCCAAAACAATTAGGTGATTTCATTAAAATCACATCACTTAACAGCGTGTTAGTTTTTGGTGACTTCTAACTCCTCCTTTCTCATGAGACTAGATTCTATATTTAAAAGGGACTGGGGAATTAAGTAAGTCAAATTCACGAAGCTAAAAGTAAAAGAAGAACTTGTCATACCGGATGATTGAAGGGCATGGGAAACTGACTTTTTAAAACCTTCTGCACCCTTAGCTTTTTAATGGGACATTCATGAGAGCCATGGAAGATGGAGGTGTCAAGCTCCTAAAAGAAAGATTAGAGAAATTCTTCCATCGGGTAAGTATTTTGAATTTTATTTACAATCTTCGTCGTGTCCAGATAGACCTTTCTATAGAGACAACTTTCTCTCCTACAAAAATCCCAGAACTTGAAAGTGGCAAAGAGCCTAAGATATACTGTGGCAGACCCTGCCCAGTGAGGAAACTCATTAGACTTTCGCGTGAACCTAGTCTCAGTGCTGGTGCACAGCTCCTTTAAGCGTCTTGAGACATGGTTCGGCTTCACCCGTCCTCCTGCATCCATCAGAGAGAGCTTATCAAAAGTGAACTTACTGTACGGCGGGTTGGTTGGTTAGCAAAGTGTAAACACTTCACTGAGTTGAGCACGCTTATGGATTGATTCTGTTCACGTAACGGCCAGAAGTGTTTGGCTGTGACCCAGACTTTATCACAGCAGTGGCAATCAGTGTGATTTTCCCACTGATACGTGAATGTCCCTACGTAGCTGCCATTCTCTTTCACTGCGAATGGAATTTTGCGTATCTCACCCAACCTCAACCCTCAATAACCTATTTTCGAATTATTATATTTTTGTGAATTACTTATTTGTTCTTCACTTCAGTGACCATAACTATTCACTCTCATACCATCTCCTGCTTCCTGCTCTTGTGCCCATCCCTGGCACAACGGCCACGTGCCCCGGAACATGATTTTGATGTAAGACATTAAGTCACTGAGTGTATCCGTGATGTCACAAATGAGGCTGACCCAATTTGAGAAGCACCAATAAAAGGAATTAAATGCTTCAGAGAGAGAAAACACAATACCAAGGAAACATGAATGAGTGTGTTTGAACGTTATACTTTGAAATTGGTACTGATTTCACATCCGGTTACCTGTGATGCACCTGCTGGCTGGCTTGTCTGTATGCTGTTGCCAATGTGTGATTGTGCTGTACCATTAATCAGGGCTAATTATCTTCCGTTGTGAAAGAGGACTACATTCGGTGTACTTATTTATAAACGTTATGCCTTATTTTTTCCTACAGTATTTGCAAACGCTGCATTTGCAGTCATGCGATCTACTCGACATTTTTGGTGGAATCAGCTTCTTCCCGTTGGATAAAATGACTTATTTGAAAATCCAGTCCTTTATTAATAGAATGGAGGAGAGCCTGAGTATAGTCAAATACACTGCCTTTCTCTACAATGACCAACTCATCTGGTACGTACGCCCTGAATGGATTTGGTGTTGGCTGTGATAGGATTAGATATTATTGCTGTTCATGGGAAGATATCAGTTGACTTTTTTTTTTTTTTTTTTTTTTTTTTTTTTTTTAGTCCTCACCAGAGGACATGCTTTTATTGATTTGAGAGAGAGAAAGGAGAGAAACATTGATTGGTCGCCTCTAGTACACGTGGTTGACCCGGGATTGAACCTGCAACCTTTTGGTGTAGGATGACGCTTCAAGTAACTGAGCTGCTCGGCCAGAGCTCAGATGATTTTTTTGTCCAAAGTTTTTGGCTTATTTTTTAGGAGAATTTTCCCCTTACTGAACTGACTGACTTTTCAGGGCTTAATGCTTTTATAAATAAATGCCTTAGGTATGTTGAGTTAATCAGAGCTGACCATGCTCTTTGATCTTGGCTGGATTATGTTATATTCCATATAAGACAATAAGTCTGAGTTCTGGACTAAACTGATCCTAAGTGAGGATTGTGCCTTGGGTGATCACAGCCCTGTTCTTGACAGGGCTTCTACCGACGGAAGTGCCCGAGTTAAATAACTGGGTGCCGTCTCCAGAAGCTGGGTATGCTCTACTGACATGCACAGCCGTGTGTCATGTGCAGAGCACTTGTGGAGGTCTTAGAGCAAAACAACGGAAGCCCATTTAGCAATGACACCAACACAGGACATAGTTACCCTATATAATAAAAGGCTAATATGGCCAAAACCGGTTTGGCTCAGTGGATAGAGCGTCGGCTTGGGGACTGAAAGGTCCTGGGTTCGATTCCGGTCAAGGGCATGTACCTTGGTTGTGGGCATATCCCCAGTAGGGGGTGTGCAAGAGGCAGCTGATCGATGACTCTCTCTCATTGATGTTTCTAACTCTCTATCTCTCTCCCTTCCTCTCTGTACAAAATCAATAAAATATATATTTAAAAAAATAATTTAAAAAAATAAAAAATAAAAGGCTAATATGCAAATCGACCCAACTGCAGAACGACTGGTCGCTATGACGCGGACTGACCACACCGGAACTGCCCCCTGGTGGTCAGTGTGCTCCCACAGGGGAATGCCGCTCAGCCAGATGCTGGCTCACGGCTGGCGAATACAGCGGCAGTGGAGGGAGCCTCTTCCACCTCCACAGCAGTCGGATATCCCCCGAGGGGTCCCAGACTGCGAGAGGGTGCAGGCTGGCTGAGGGACCCCTCCCCAGTGCATGAATGTCGTGCACCGGGCCTCTAGTCTGTAATAATAAAAGTGTAATGTCCTAATTAGAATGGACATCCTTCCAGTCGACCTGCGAGGGAAGCCCGGGGCCTGGGTGCCAGAGGGAAGCTGGTGCTGGCAGCCGGGGAAGGAAGGCCTGCTCTTGCATGAATTTCACGCATCGGGCCCCTAGTAGACCCATAAACCAGAAAGAGCAGTCAGTCTTGACAAAGTAGTAGCATTGCATGCACACAGGTGACTCACTTTGAACGGAAGGAAAGTTCTGTTTTTTAAAGGGGAAAAAATTCCTTGAAATAACTATTTGAGAGACAGAACGCTGTACTTCTAGCCTGAGGGGCTCTTCCTGCGGGTGGAGTCCGGACTCCTTGGGCCGGCAGTGCAGGGTTCTGTTGGCTTCGTGTGGTTGTCTGTCTGTGCTAAGGAAGGAACTCTTGTTTAGTGTTTTAAAAACTTGTATTTTGAGATCATTGAAGATTGCCGTGCAGTTAAAAGAACTTGCCCCCAGAGGTACCATCTGGCATAACTAACAGAGCGTTACTTCATTTGTTTCTGAGGGGAGCGCAGGTAGGGGTGGGGGGCAGATCCTGGATGGAGAGCTGCTTGGTCAGGGCTGGTGGAGACCCTATAACTGGGCACGCCTCTCCGCCCCTCTGCAAGCAGAGGCACCTGCTGGTGTTCTGTGCTCTGAACTGCTGGCTGCAACTTAATTTGTTAAAATGTCCTACCCAGAAAACCAGCACCGAAGGACTTAAGGCCTAGCATTACATCTTAAGTGCAATAATAAAAACAAAGCCCGGGTGCATGGACTGGTCAGCAGTTAAGGAATGTTGCCAGTTCCTTTTATAGGGCGTTTCCACTCCATGCCCTCGGGTCTAGGACAGCCCTGGATGGTGAGAGTATAAAGCACAACACTCAGGCGCTTTAGAAGTTTCCAATAGCCGAGATAAGATAAAAAGAAACTGGTTATGTTAATCACAATGTTATATATTGTAGCCCAATACAGCTGAGCAAAAGAACATGCCACTGCATGGCCAGAAGCTGAGCCACGCGACAGCTCCCACCTGAAGGGGAGCATTGTGGTCACTAATGCTCCCCAGAGTCCTGCGGAACTCGCCGGAGAATCTGGTCCTGGGCTGACTTCCAATGGCCCAGGCAGTGCGTGGCCTTCAGCAGGGCCCAGGGCCGGACGCAGGCGTGACATTCCCTCTGCAGCCTCCCAGTCAAGGAGGCTCTCGATCTTCTGTGGGAGAGATGAGCTTTCGCGTGGAGCCGCGTCTGACAGTGCTTCTCTGTTTCAGGAGTGGATTGGAACAAGATGACATGAGAATTTTATACAAATACCTCACCACATCCCTCTTTCCAAGGCATATCGAACCCGAGGTACGATTGGGTGCTAATGTCTCTCTGTAGATAGGTGGGGAGGTAGGTATGTGCATGTTTGCATGTATGTGTGTACACATGCACATGTGGCTAGGGCAGCTTCGATATCTATTTTACATCATCGATGTGATATGTGGTGAGACCTTTTTACCTGTATTTCACTTAACACAGGGAGCCACATGTGTCAGCTCTTCTCATTTTGTTACACACAAAGGCAACAGCAAAGGCGTGTTTTTAAAGGAGCAGTTCACTGAATAGAGGGAGAACCGGTGTTTAGGTTGGGTTCTGGGAATTGGGAAAATGTCAGGACCTTTGACAGATCAGTGGTTACCCATCGTCTTTTCATCTCCAGCATGTGATCTGATTTGGAGTAGATGTCACACAGCCTTCCCACTCTGGTACTTACTCTCCCGACCTCCTGCGCAGAACTGAGATAACTGCGCGGCTCTCCCAGCGTCCTTTTGTAGCTTTAATTGTACTGGGAGTGAAAGTGTTCCTAGCCCATAAAAGCTTCCTCTCGGCCCAGGAGCGTGTGTACGCTGGTTCTCTCTCTCCCTCTCCCCCTCCCTCCCTCTCCCTGATTTTTAAAGCCATGGCTTAGAACAAGAAAAATGTCTTTGATAAGAAGCTGAGAGCAAGTTTTTGAGAAGGACCTGGCCCTGCGCTTAGTTCCTCTCTAGGCAATCTGAGTAGATTGATTGACTGTATTTGAATGTGTGCTGTAGGCCAGACACCCAGCAAGCACGCATCTCCTGACAACAATCCTCACATTATTTTTTATTTTATTTTATTTTTTAAATATATTTTATTGATTTTTTACAGAGAGGAAGGGAGAGAGAGAGAGAGTTAGAAACGTCGATGAGAGAGAAACATCGACCAGCTGCCTCTTGCACACCCCCTATCGGGGATGTGCCCGCAACCAACGTACATGCCCCTGACTGGAATCGAACCCTTTCAGTCCGCAGACCGACGCTCTACCACTGAGCCAAACCGGTTTCGGCTCTCACATCATTTTTTAGAAGAGTAACAAGGGGTTTAGCTAGTATGACTGTTGGGTTGGGGGTGTTTTTTATTTATTTTCTATGCGTATTGAAATAGTACATCCTTAGCAAAGGAAACTAGGAACGTGCTATAAATACAAGTCGAGGAGGAGGCATGATGCCCTGGCGGAAGGCAGGGGCCTGGGTTTGAGTCTGGTGTGCACTGGTGACTGTCGGTGGACTTCAGTTGCCACATCTAGAAAATAGGAAGAGAGTGTTCCCACAGGGGAGACAAGGTGAAGTGGAGTAATTGATGTCATTGCTAGGATGCACTGACTGAGTGGGAGATTTCGGTCATTGCTCTAAAAGCACTAAATTGGGATGTGGAATTTAGGCGCAGGGAAGTTACGTTGTGACGGTTCTGGTTAAAGTGAGTTCTCTGTGTCTGTGAGCCTCCTCTTTTCTGGGTGGAAGGAGTGGGGAAATTGATGTAGAGAAGTGGCACAGAGCCAGCTGGTAGATGAATACTGCTTTTCAAAGCTGTGAAAGGAGACAACCTAATAAGTCATTTCTCAACACCCATTTGTTCGCAGTTGGCAGGAAGGGATTCTCCCATCAGGGCAGAAATGCCAGGAAATCTTCAGCACTATGGAAGGTAGGACTCTGTTCTTCAGTGTGCGGTATTGGGAGTTTGTCATCTTCCTTGGTAAAGATAAAATCATGAACCCATAATTACCTTTGTGCTGCTTTGTGATAACTAGAGGCCCAGTGCACAGATTCATGCACCTGTGGGGGTCCCTCTGCCTGGCTTGCACCCTCGGGGGATGTCAGATAGCTGGTTTCATCCCGATCCCCACAGGCCCGATCCAGACAGGAGGGAGCCCAATTCTGTGCATTGAGCATCTGTCCCCTGGTGGTCAGTGCACATCATAGCAACTAGTCAACCATTCGGTCACTTAGGCTTTTATATATATTGATAGATGATCAACAAAGGAATTCTCTTGTTTCCAGTGAATTAAGACCATTACTTTTTTGTATTCTGATTTGGTGTTTTGTAAATAGTATCTAGTTTCCCCAAAAACTGGCTGCATATTAAGTAGAATGTACTCCATATATACAGGGTGGGCAAGGTAGACTTACAGTTGTTCATATGGAAACTAATGCAAAAATAAATAAGAATGAACTCAGTGTTTTGCATGCTCACAATGTAGACCTACTGTTACCCACCCTGTATATTCCTGTTTATACTTTTCCTAGTTTAATCAAGTCATCTCTTGCTTGCTTCTCAGATTTCTGACTGGACCCTTGAACCTTAATGATCCAGAAGCAAAATGCAGATTCCCCAAAATCTTTGTAAATACCGATGACACTTACGAAGCCCTCCATCTCATCGTTTATAAGGTAACAGCTGTTTTCTCTACAGTGTCCAGGTTAACACCAAAGTAACTCTCCTGTGTGTGTCCACGGGTACGTGTGCAAACCTCTTACATGTTCTCAGAACATGAACGTTACTGTGACACTCAACATGGGTGCCCTCCTGGAATAGTGCCTTCCTTTCCAGCTCCTGGGAAGGCTTTTCCTTACTTGTGAGAGGGTAACTGTCCAAGGCCTGGCGTCCTGTGTGCTGGTTGGACACCCCCGGCACAGGCCTGCCCACACTTGCCTGAGTACTGCCCTTGTGCAGTTTACAGATGCGGACTTGCTCATTCTGTAGGCATAGTCTCAGTTCTTCCTTAATCTCATCTAGTGCTCATTCCATATCCAGATTTCTCCAGTTGGCCAGAAAACACCTTTCTAAAGGTGATCTGTCCAGTCAGGAGTCCAGCCAGGTTGCTCCATGCCGGGGTCTTTCTCCAGCATCTAGAAGGTTCGGGAATCTGGAGAAGGTGCTGCGCGTAAATTAATAAAGAGACTAGAAATATAAATTTGTAATCCATGGGGGAGCCAGAGGTAGCTTCTCCTATCTCTGGACTCAGGGCTTTTTTATTCCCACATTTTGCCCTATAGCAAAGTAGATATACATATCAAAGGTAAGGTTGAGTATACAGTAGGCATTGTCAGATTGGGGGAACTGCCTTGGCTGTTCAGGTGTTTGGCCAGCAGGAGGCAATAACTTGCAGATTAAAATGCCCTCAGCTCTCTGGCAACAAGCAATCACGTATGTAAATTCAGGTTTGGGGGAATGCCTTCGGCCCTTCCAGTAGGCAGTAATATATATCTTCAGCCCTGCTGAAGCCTCAGGGTTCCATCAACCTTTTGATGAAACTTCTTGCGTTTAGGTCACAGGCGTCCTCAAACTTTTTAAAGTGGGGGCCAGATCACGGTCCCTCAGAGAGCTGGAGGGCCGGACTATATGAACTACTAATTCCTGCTGTAACACCTCGGCTGCGCTCACTGCCCAAAAAACCTGGCGGGCCGGATCAGACTCCTCTGCGGGCCGCATGTGGCCCGAGGGCCGTAGTTTGAAGACCCCTGGTTTAGGACATGCTGGAATGAGCCTCCAGCAGCTGCTCCGCTCTGCAGCCTTCCCTCTGTCCCGCCTTGTAACCTCGGCTGTGTTTTCTCCTCCCAGGCCATGAGCGCAGCTGTGTGCTTCATGATTGACGGTAGGTACACAGTGTGTCTGACGCCAGCCTCAGACAGGCCTTGTCTGTCTGCAGTTCGCTGTGTTCTGTCCCTGAACGGTAAACATGCCATAAGCAGCATCGAGGGAAGTCGAGTCCTCGTTTTCCCTTTGTCAGCAGCAGGACCTGGGCTCTCTGTGCCCCTGGCTGTGGGAGGGAACAGAGGCACCTGTCTAGGGGGCTTTGCCAATTAAATGAGGTCACATTTGAAGAGTCCCGGACGTGGCCCATCCGTGCTGTGTAATGTTGTTAAATATTCGACCTTCTTTGGTTGACTTGGGGTGGACAGCCCATTTACCACCCACAGCATATGTTAACGTCAGCATTCTCAGTGAGCCAGGTCTTTGCTTTTGTTGTTTTTTTCCATCTTAAATACAATTTTGATTCTTCTGTTTCTCTTCTATTGGGGGTAGGGGGTTGTAGGGAGATCTGATCATTTAATTGCTTCATCCCCCAGATCCATAGTTCAGTAAAGATATTATAGCAAAATTGTTAAGACAGTAAAGTGGACAGTGACCTTTTCACCCCAGAACACGGTCACTCACTGCTTTCTGCCTTCCCTGCAGCCTCCGTGCAGCCCACGCTGGACTTCTGCCGGAGACTGGACAGCATCGTGGGGCCCCAGCTCACGGTGCTGGCATCGGACATCTGTGAGCAGTTTAACGTCAACAAGAGAGTGTCTGGGTTAGTACTTCACTGTGTGCTTCCTTCCCAGCGTGCAGCGGGGCTTGGGAGAGGGAGGGAGGTTTTCCTCAAGCAAACGGACAGTATTCATTCGCGTTCCCTCTGCTCCAGAGAGCCGCAGAGAGCCGCCCAGTCCTGACCGAAAGGCCTGTGGGGAGCTGCTCCCGAGTTCTGCCCACGCCGATGGTTGGGCGGGCTCTGTCCTGGTTGAGTGTATGGGCTGAGGCGTGCCAGCTGTGCCCGTGGGCTTGGCCTGTGAGAGCCCACCCACACCCCACATCCCACTCGACCAGCCCAATGGAGGAAAAAACCCTGTGTGAGGGTTAACAACAACAATTCTGCTTTTATAAGAATTCTCTTTTCATTTTCCCGGAAACTAAGCTCTCACATGCCTTCTTTGCCTGGATGTACAGTATTACAGTAATAACCCACTCGTCCAGAGCCCGGACGTAAGCAGAGGCCCTGAGCCCTCAGAGGCAGGGCCGCTCAGCTGCCAGCCAGGCCCCAGACTGAGTGAGTGAGGGCACAGTGAGGGAGGGCAGGAGGCCCTGCATCTAGTGGCCCAGCTGTCTGGTGGGACCCTGAGAAGCCACAGGCCCTGACCTGGGGGCAGTGGGGTAGCACCCACTCATTTACAGCAATTGAAGCTGCATCGTCCTTCATCAGAAAGGCTGATCTCCACTCAGGAGGGTGCAGTGCTGCTGGTTACCAGTAGTGAGCTTCAGTTCTATGGCAGATTGACACACGAACACACGTGTTCCCAGTTCAGTGGGATAAAGGAGATGTTACTCTCCTAACAGGCCAGCAGACTTCTGCAAAGGGCCGAACAATAAGTACGTTGGATTTCATGGCTGTGTAGGTTACACCCCCTCAATGGCTGTTTGTGTGAAAGCAGCCACAGGCATTATATTAAGAAGTGTGGCCGTGTTCCAGTAAAACTTTATTTAGAAAAACAGGGCCAGGAGATACATGGTCTGTATTCATTTAGTTTGCCTTTATTTTTTATTTTATTTATTATTTTAAGTGATTGCCATTTATAAGACATTATACTTTTATTGAGAAAAATCATAAAACGGTTTAGGTATTTTTATTTTTTAAACAATACACTTCAGCCCTCTGGAAAATTCCATCAGATTGGATGCCTCACAGATAGCACGAACCAATGAGGAGCTGTCACACCTTCATGGAGATCCGCCTGGCAGGCCCCGCCATTGGGAGTCGGCCGCACGGATCCGAGTTTGGAGGACCTTTCAGAATGCTGACAGTTCCTGCTGTCCTCACAGGTCTGAGAAGGAGCCCCAGTTTAAGTTCATCTACTTCAACCACATGAACTTGGCAGAGAAAAGTACGATCCACATGAGGAAAACGCCCAGCGTGTCGCTGACGTCTGTTCACCCGGATCTGATGAAGATTCTGGGCGACATCAATAGTGACTTCACCAGGTAATCTGACTGCCGCTCCGGCGAGGTGCCCCTGCCGATCAGCAGAGACGCTGAGGGAATCGTCCTCACAACCCAGTGACCACGGCCCCTCAGAGGCCCGCAGCCTCCGGGCTTCCAGACCCACCGTTAAGCCCAAAGCCACGGGACTCCCCGAACTTCTCAGACCCTGAGAGTTCCCGTTGTGCGTAGCTCCTCGCAGCCTGCCTGTGTGTAATAAACCACTGCCTTTCGCACCTCTTGTCTTGCAGGGTGGACGAAGACGAGGAGATCATCGTGAAAGCCATGAGTGACTATTGGGTTGTTGGGAAAAAGTCTGACCAGCGGGAGCTCTATGTTATTTTGAATCAAAAAAATGCAAACCTGATTGAAGTAAATGGTAAATAGGTTTTGGTATCTGAGCAACTTTTAATGCTTCTGGTATTTAAACACCACTGTCTTCATTGTACTGAGACACGTGCGCAATAGAACAGCATGACTGTTGAGGTTTCAGGCAGATGCCTCCGTTGCTTGGAGGAGACCTGTATCTTAGTTCCTCAAGAAAGCATGTGAAAAGCTTGCCTGTGTCACGGCAAACTTGACAGTGGCCAAAGGAAAACTATTTTTATGCCAAAGGAGACAATCCCATGGCTTCCCATCCTGTGGCTGAACCAGGCCTTATTTCCGGTGGGGAGAATACACGCTTCACAGCAGAGCAGCCAGGCTCATGAAGCCGCTGACGGCCACTCTGTGCGGGAGCAGTAACGCTGAGGCCAGTCTGTGCTCCCGCTCCAGCCAGAGCGGTCCTCCGCACGCTGTCTTCTCAGCAACTGCTTTGACTGACCCTGGCGGTTGTGCTGGCCAGGACGCAAGGGTGTGTCCCTTCCCTGCACCCAACCCCATGGCGGCTCTGCGGGAGACCAGAGCAGGGAGTGGACAGTGGGGATGCACCCAAGTGCCTGCCACCTGTAAGCAGAGTTAGGTGTGCGTTTCTCTCTGCGGGTATCTCCGAGGGCATATTCCATTTCTCCCTTCTGTCACACACATGCATAGTGTGTGCGTTAGAAACCACAGGGAGGCCGTGCTCAGCATGAGAGGGGGGCCGTGGGAGCACCTGGTCCGCAGGTCACGCTGCAGCAGGAGTTTCCTGCTTGCATCCGAGTTTTCAAGGTTTTAGAAGTTGTGCCCCTGAGGCCCTCACCGGGGGTGTCTCGGGCCTTCTGGGTGCTGGGTTTGAGCTTTCTCGGGCCGAAGAATCAGTGTTTCTCTGGTAAATAGCACTGAGGTCTCCTGGCATATTGGGCTTTTTCTTTCTCGTAGTTTATTGACATTTCTTGCCTCGGCTTCTTAGAAATCAGATCAACATTAAGGCAGATAATTACTTATTCCCAACTTTATTCTAGAAGAATGAAGGTACTAATGTGTGTCATATACCCTCCGAGTGAAAAGCTCTCCCTCACTCACTGCTTTCTGTCCTCCCCGCAGAAGAGGTCAAGAAACTCTGCGCCACGCAGTTCAACAACATCTTCTTCCTGGATTGACCGGTAACGGCTCGCAGAAGCATCTCTTAAAAAGCATTCGGCAAGCATTCTGTTTACACTGCAGGTTATTGGTCATATTACTGACTGGATTAATGACAATAGTAAAGCAATACTTGCTCTGAAGAATCAAATTTCTACTCAGTCTGATGATCCTCTGGAGTTTTTAGATTTTAAATATTTATGTGGAATTAGCCAACGACATTGTATCATTCCATTCTTTGGACATTATGTGAATATTTTACTGGAAAATAAGATTAATAAATTGTTAAAGTTTTTAAACTCCCGGTTTTGCGTTGATTCTCTCTCCTGTTGCCTGTGTGTGGACCACACTGGCCGCTGGGCCCCTGGCCCTTCCTGGGGCTACGCCAGCAGCTGGAGCGGAGCGGAGTTGGGGTCCCTAGACCTGAGTGGTGAACTAAGTCCTTTGCCCAAAGTAATCACCAGCCGTGGTGTTTATCCTGAGTTACTGATGTGGTTTTTGACCTCATGTCATACTAAGCTTAGTGGAAGTGCCCCAGGATGGCCTAAACATAAAGCGTTTTTGTCTGGTAGAACTCACTCCCAGACACTCTGCAAGCAGCCTCACAGCTGGGACGGAGCTGGCTGGGTTTTATTTTAAAACCTGCCCTTCAGTGGCCTGGTCCCCCCGAGTCGGGGTGAAAACAAGCCAGGCATGGTCTAGAAACACTGGGCCCACCCAGCCCCCACGGGTTCAGTTCCCATCCAACTTGCATGCTCCTGTGAGGGAGGGAGGAGATGGGAGAAACTCCTCATCCATTTGTAGCATTTTTGTTGTCTTGCATAAAGCAGTTTCCACTGTGATTTCCTCTCCATCAAGGCATGCTTTGTGTTTATTGCTGACTTGCTAATTGCAGTCCCGTGAGATCCGGTCTCTGAGGGGTCTTTTGAAACTGTTGCACTTTTCAACCAAAAATGCAGCCAGTGTTTTTTCTCTGTTGCATGCTGGCGTCTAACTCTGTTAGTTCAAAGGGTTTCGTGTAGGTACTGTAATTGTCTGCGTCCTAATTGTCTGCGTCCTTCCTCAGTGTTGCTCTTCCTGGTCTGTTTGCAAGGCTAGCTGGGGAGATGCATGGGAGTACTGCAACTTTTTGGTTGTTGGTCCTTTTAATTACTTTTATCTGTATTATGCTGATATTTGCTTTAAATTCTATTTTGTCGACCTTGAATAATGCTTGCTTTCTAATCATCTTGATTAGATTTTCCGGGTGCATTTTTCCTACTTTTATCTTTTCTAGATGGCTTTAAAGATGTTTTCCCTTGTAAAAAGGAACACTGAAGTGCTGTTTGTATTTTTCACCCAACCTGAGGACTTCCGGGGCTGGGCGGGGAAGAGGCGGGGTTAGCCTGTTACATTGGTGACTGGTATCTTGGCACTTCTCCCTCCATCTTTTGTTTTCTGTTTCCATCTGTTTTCTTTGTTGTTTTCCTTTTCCCCAAGATTTATGTTGGATGATAGTTTCCTTCCTTCTGCCAGTTTGGAAGCTAGAAATTTTCTTTTCATGCTTTTGGTGGAGGGTCTTAAATTTTAAAACAGATTATTAGCTCTGACATTTCCTAACAGAGCCTCAGAGTATTCACTTCGCCGCCAACTGCACCCCCGATCCTGACCCTGCTGTTTGGCCTTGGGTCACGCAGTGGAAGGAGCCCCGTCGGAGGCAGCCAGGTGAGAGGACAGGTGGGCTATGGACACGGGGCAGTGACAAGGGGCAAAGGAGCTGTTTTGGGAGGGGCAGCCTGAAGAAAGGCTCCAATGATTTCATCTACTCCCCATTGATATGTGATTGGTTTTATCAAAGTCTAAACATAATCCCCAATCATGTGGAATACACACTCATTTGCTACCCACTCCCATGTGTTTTCAGGGTGCAGGCATTTGGTGGCCCAGCCTTAGCAAAGCCAGGAACAGCGAACGGGCATGGCATGGCATGCGAGCACAGGAAGACGGGGAGGGGAGAAGAACACCGCTTTATTAGCCAGGAGGGCATTCTGGGCTCGGGCTCTGACCTGGCACATCCGGGCTCCCGGGGCTCCTTCACCAATGCGCTCGCCTCTATCTCTTCCTCTTCTTGCTGACGATGGTCTTGGACAGGCCCAGCACCGGGTCTTCCTTGGGGAGGGCCAGCATTAAGTGCAGGGACGTGACGTCCATCGGCTCCTTGATCACATTGATGTCCACCACGCCGTCCTGTCTTTTGACCTTTTCCTCTTTCAAGCCCAACACCATGAGCCTAACGCCGGACACAAACAGAAGGAGACAGTTATTTTCTTTGTCATTTCAAAACCAAGTGTGTTTTTTTAAAGCAACTTTCTCAATGTGATTTTTTTAATACACTTTTATTGATTTCAGAGAGGAAGGGAGAGAGAGAGATAGAAACATCAATGATGAGAGAGTATCATTGATCAGCTGCCTCCTGCACGCCCCCTACTGGGGATCGAGCCCGGAACCTAAGCATGTGCCCTTGACCAGAATCAAACCCAGGACCTTCTAGTCTACAGTCCAATGCTCTATCCATTGAGCCAAACCATCTAGGGCCCCAAACCAGTGTTTATGCTGCATGCGGAGTAAAGCTGACCAGAATTTGCTGAAATAAAGTGACACCATCTCTAGACCAGATCTACAGCGCTTTGTGAACCACACTTCTCTTAGCAACTAGCAGCCAGGAGTAGCCTTGGAAAGCCTCCTGAGTCGTCGTGCTTACGTCCCGTTTCCTGCTTTCTCCCACAGACCCACCGGCTTGAGGTGCAGCCCACAGAAAGCAGGTTTTTAGACCCTGGCCCGACATGTGTGCACAGAACAGCCTGGACGGGCTCCGGGCAGGTAAGGTGCAGCCCTCCCGGGCCGGGTGCCGGGTATCGTTTTACGTGCTTTACGCACATTAGCTCGCGTCCTCCTCACCGCAGCTTGCAGGTGGGGAAACTGAGGCACACAAGTGGCTGACCTTGCCCAAGGTCACCCAGGTGTTAAACGGCAGGCCTGGGACTTGAACCCGAGCAGTCTAGATCTGTGGTCTGACTCAGCGACTCTGTCACATTGCCTCCGGGTGTGAGCCTTACAACACAGACGTCACCACCACTTTAGACAACAGGAGAGAACAGGGAGCCCCCAGGCAGGGTTCTTCCGGGGAGTCACAGGCCCGGGTGCCCAAGAGGACAGACGCCACCACTCTGTCCCCTTCCTCCCTCTCCCCCACCCCCAGCCCCGAGGACGTCGTGTGGCTCCGGGCAGCTCAGGAGACGGAGGAGAGGGGCCGAGAGGGTTCTAGGTACCTGGCTTCCAGCTCGTCGTTTTCCGTCTTCCTCACTTTGGCCATGGCTGCGTACTGTAGCTTGTCTTCCTTTACTTTCTCCTTGAGAGTTTCCTCATGTCTATATGCTTGGAAGAGCGTGTCCACAAAAAAGATGTACAGGCAGTTCATCCACATGTTGATGTTTTCGAATTGCTCATCCTTGCCTTTTTTTCTCTCTGGAAGAAAGCGCAGTGCCAGTGAGCGGCCGGACCATGGCGCAGCGACCGTGGGGCCCGTGCTCCTCGGGCTCCGTGGGGGGGAGCTGCAGGGGCTGCGCAGGCGCCCAGAGTGGGGCGTCAGGAGGTCCCCCAGGCTCCTGGCACCTGTGCCGTTTTTCTAAACAGCCTAAGTGGGTTTTGTTGTTACTTTTAATTAAAATTTCAGAAAATGTATTAACATTGCCTGTGTTTCAGGAAAAGGAAAGCCACGTGGCATTTGTGTACATTGTCTTAAAGGCAGTTTTCATTAAGAAAATAAAAGGATTTTAAACTCTGAATTGGATAAGAAATACTATTCTATGAGAGAGAGGGAGAGAGACAGAGATGTAGAAGTATCGATGATAGAGAAATATCATTGATAGAGAAACATCATTGATCAGCTGCCTCCTGCATGCCTCCTACTAGGGATGGAGCCCACAACCCAGACATGTGCCCTGATGGGGAATGAACTGGTGATTTCTTGGTTCATGGTTCAGTGCTTAACCACTGAGCAATACTGGCTAGGCATAGTAATATTCTTTTTAAAAAATATTTACTTCTATTGACTTTAGAGAGGAAGGTAGGGGAAGAGATAGAAATATCGATGATGATTTTTTAAAAAGGAAAAAGAAAACCACCACCACCAAAAAAAAAAGGAAGCATCGATGATGAGAGAGCATCATTCATCAGCTGCTTCCTGCACGCCCCACACTGGGGATCCAGCCCACAACCTGGACATGTGCCCTGACCAGGAATCGAACCATGACCTGGTTCATAGGTCGATGCTCAACCACTGAGCAACACTGGCCGGATGCGCTTTTCTTTGTCTGACTTATTCACAGTTTTTTGGTCATGATTATTCAGGTTTCCTATGTTTTCTTAAGTTGACTTTTGTTATTAATGTTCTCTTCCTAGCCAGGATGTGTGTATTTACACTTTTATTCTGGCTGAACTGGTTGAACATGTCCATTTTCCTTTCAATTAAAGAACCAGCTCTCAGAAAGGCCAGTGTTGCCGAAACCGGTGTGGCTCAGTGGATAAAGCATCAGCCTGCGGACTGAGAGGTCTCGGGTTCAATTCCGGTCAAGGCATGTACCTTGGTTGGGGGCACATCCCCAGTGTCGGGGTGTGTGTGTATGTGTGTGTGTGTGTGTGGTGGTGGTGCAGAAGGCAGCTGATTGATGTTTCTCTCTCTCATTGATGTTTCTATCAATAATTCTCTATCCTTCTCTCTTCCTCTCTGTAAAAAATCAATAAAATATACTTTTAAAAATCATAAAAACCAGTACCAACAAAGACCACAATGTAATTGAGGATCCAAATAGACATGCTCCTAAGAGGACGTACCTACAGCCAATGTGAGAAACTGTTCCCCGTCGCTGATCACCGGGGAATGCCAGACAGACCCCAGGGAGAGTCCCCTCACGCATGTCCGAATGGCCCCCCTAAAGACCAGGGAGAGCGGGCTGGGAACCGTGTCACTAATGGGAGCAAAGTCCCTGCCCATCATACCAGGAACTTCCTGGCTGGTTTATGGAAAAGGGTATGGTAGTTCCTTAAAATGTTACAAATAGAACTATGACCTTATGACCCAGCAATTCCACTTCTGGGAATATAGCCAAAGAAAACAGAAACAACATAGAAGAGATAGCTGCTTCCCGTTATTGACAGGAAAACAGCCCACGTGTTCATGAACAGGTGACTGGGTTAAGAAGTTGTGGAACAGCCCTGGCTGGTTTGGCTCAATGGGTGAGTGTCAGCCTGTGGACTGGGGGTCCTGGGTTGGATTCTGGTCAAAGGCACATACTCGATCCTCAGTGGGGGGGTGTGCAGGAGGCAGCCCATCGATGATTCTCATCAGTGATGTTTCTCTCTCTCTATCCTTCTCCCTTCCTCTCTGGAATCAATAATATATATATATATATATATATATATATATATATATATATATATATATATATATTTTAATGTTGTGGAACAATATAGAGTGGAATTTGATTCAGCCCAAAACATGGAGGAAATCGTGCCATTTGCAACAACATGGATGGACCTCCAGGGTTTATGCTAAGAGAAATGAGTCAAAGACAAACACTGTAAGACCTGTTATATGTAGGATCTTCACAACATAAAAACGCAGAAACAAACAGGTTTGTGGTTACTGGAGGGGGTGGGAGGACTGGAGGAAGGTTGTCAGGAAGCACAAACTTCTTCCACTTACTTACAAAGATAAACTAGGAGCCCTGCACACGAATCCATGTGCCAGTAGCTCTCTGTGGGGTCTGGCTGCTCCGTACCCGCTGCCCAGAGGCTCTCTGTGGCCCAAAGGTCCATCGTGGCTAGGCGTGAACGCTTGCCTCGTCGCCGCGGCGATGAAGCAGGCATTCCACCAGGCCGCTCACGCTGCCTGCTCTCAGCGGCACCTCCTCCCCTTCCCCCTAACCCCAAGACTGGGACTGGGGGACTCTGGCAGGGCTAAGACTGAGTGCCACCATCTTTGTGATGGAGTGATGGTTAATTTGCATATTACCCTTTTATTAGATAGGAAGATAAGCACAGGGATGTAACATACATGATGATGCTAGTTCAGCACTGTTTGTTGTATACGAAAGTTAAGAGTGTAAATCCGCCAAAACCGGTTTGGCTCTTTGGTAGAGCATCGGTTTGTGGACTGAAAGGTCCCAGGTTCGATTTCGGTCAAGGGCATGTACATTGGTTGGGGGTGTGCAAGAGGCAGCTGGTCGATGTTTCTCTCTCATCGATGTTTCTAGCTCTCTATCCCTCTCCCTTCCTCTTTGTAAGAAAAATCAATAAAATATATATATTTTTTTTTTTAAAAAGTGTAAGTCCTAGTGGTTCTCATCATAAGAAGAATGGTGTGCAATAGATATTTATTAAATGTATTGAGGTAATCATTTCATGACATATGTAAGTCAAATCATCATGTTGTATAACTTAAACTTACACAGTACTACAGATCAATTATGTCTCAATGGAAAAAATACCAAAAACAAACCTGAAACTCATAAGATCATGCCCTACAAGGAACTCTCTGAAGCTGGAGGCAGAATTGGAAGTAGCAGTACCAGCCTAATTATATACATAATTTTTTAATTTAAAAAAATTCTAAGCCCTAACCGGTTTTGCTCAGTGGACAGAGTGTCGGCCTATGGACTGAAGGGTCCTCGGTTTCATTCCGGTCGGGGGCATGGACCTTGGTTGCGGGCACATCCCCGGTGGGAGATATGCAGGGGGCAGCTGATCAATGTTTCTCATCAATGTTTCTGACTCTCAATTCCTCTCCCGTTCTCTCTGTAAAAATTCAATAAAATAAATTTTAAAAAATTTAAGATGGTTGTACATTTTTTCATAAATTTTTAAAATCATGTTTAAGCAACAGTTTGCCAAAATTAAAGTTATATAATTAAGATACTCACCACTTTGAGGTAATAAAAAGGTAAGCCCTTTTCCTGCAGGTTTCACAGTCACTTTGGAAATTCTATCATCACTTAGTGACTTCCTGAACCTGGGCTTTTATGGAAAATAAAATAAAATTATAAAGCAGAATATTATTTCCGCATCATCATGTACTAAAACTAGTTTACTACATTATAAATAATTAGAAATTGTTAAGGAGGCCGTTCTCTTTAAGCTAAGTAGCAGTTATGGTATTGATTGGTAGGCTCCCCCCAAGAAACCAGGGATTGAGGAAATATTATGCACAGGTAATACTACTTAGATTCATATATTAGGGGCTTTAGTTCCCACACATATGCTACCTACACCCACATTTCGGTCTCCAGCTAGATCTCCCCCTTGAACTCCCCGCTTGTATATATATCCTGTATATCAGGTAGCTGTGCTACTTGCTCACCACTTGGATGGCATGTGTCCTGATATGTCCAAACCCAGCCCCTTAATTTCGCCCCCATCTCATCGACCCCCTCCCCCGGGCCAGACCCCCCTCCCCCCTTTGTGATCAATGGAGACTATTCTTCCAGTCCTTCCAGACCCCAGATCCTGGGGTCACCTTGGCCTTCTCTCTCTCCACACCACAGCCTTTCAAGTCCCTTTTCATTCCAGGAGTTTCCTCACTGGTGTGTCAGCGAAGCCATCATGAGCCTGCTGAGCCCTCTGCTGGGGCTGGCATCTCCCTCCCCACATCAGACACTCACACCCCGGGGCTGGCCCACCGCCTCCCCCGGGTCTCCCCTCACTGGACGCGGTTCGCCCACAACCTGAGTGAGTATGCTCCCGCCTCAGGCCTCTGCACAGAACAGTCTCCCCCAGGACCACACGGGTGTACTTCACTTCCTTTGGGTATGTCACTGTTACTCAGCAGAAGGCCCCCTGCCTGCCCCCTCACTCCCATCGGCAGCCTGCCTTGCTCTCGCTTCTGCTCAGTGAGTGTCTACACAGCGCTGGGTTGGGGCCAGTCTGGACTCAGACTGCCGGCATACTGCCCCCAGCTCCTCGCCTTACTGGATCCGGGCCTGGGCCAGCTCCGTGCCCTTTCTGTGCCGCAGCGCCTGCCCAGGGAGAATAGCACCTGGCACGAGCTAATGCCCGGGAAGCACTGGCACCTGGGAAGCACCCGTGGGTGTCCGCCGCTCCTGTGTTCACCTGGCATCATCCCCTCCCCTGCCCGCACTAGGAGGTACGGTCCCTGGGAGGACGGGCCTCGAGTTCACGGCCAGCTCCCAGCTCAGACGAGCGCTCGGCACCGTAGGCATGTAACGTGCTTAAGCTCCGCCCAGGCGCCGGCTTCTCGGGTGTGCTGGAGACACAAACCTCTGTCGTCTGGATTTTGCCCAAATCGAGGAAGAGCGCTAACTTGTTTGTAGACATGGTGCTGTTCAAATGCAGGTCAGATTCCTGGCTCGTGACTGCGCTCAGGCTTCTGTCCTGATGTGGGAGTAAGGACAGCCATCAGTACTGGCTTCCACGGGGACAGGCATACACACACATGCACGTAGAGGGCACTCGTGGGTAAATGTCAGCATGTCTACACGTGTGAAACCACCTCAGTCAGAACAGTGGACATATCATCACCCCTGAGAGTTTCCTGTGCCCTGGGGGACCCCTTTCCCCATCCTCAGCAACCACCGATATGCTGTCACTACAGACTACTTTGCACTTTCTAGAATTTTCTACACAATAGTATCTACACAGCATTTTTGTCTGGCTTCTTCCACCTAGCACACTTATTTTGATTCATGCATGTTGATGTTGATTCATGCATGCATGTTGTCGTGTGATGTGTTTCATTGCTGGCTCATATACCCTGTTGTATGAACGCATATGATTTGCTTATCTTAATGGGCAATGGGAATGCCACGCTGACAGCCTGAGTGAAGCTGATGGGATGGTGTCTGAGGATGATCCCTAGGCCAGAATGTTCAGACTCAGTTACTGGCATCCACAGCGATGCCATCCATACAAGCATGGATTAATTTTTTAAGAGATATTCTTATTGATTTCAGAGAGAGAGAGGGAGAGAGAGAGAAAAATCAATGATGAGAGAGAATCATTGATCGGCTGTCTCCTACATATCCCACACTGGGGATCGAGCCCGCAACCCAGGCATGTGCCCTGCCCAGGAATCGAACAATGATCCCCCTGATTCATAGGTCAACACTCAGCCACTGAGCTACACCGGCCGGGCAAGCATAGATGAATGTAAGGCATTCATTCATTCCCCCAGAGCAGAGCCCAGCCCCGGATTGCAGCCTGGAGAAGCTGTCAGTCACCCTTCCCCTGGAGGAGGCATACCGGGCCATAGGGGTGAACCTGAGGTGAGAAGTTAAACTGGCACACGAGGAGCCCAAAGCACAGCCCAGGGCCTCGCGGTGAGCGAGAGGCTCTCCTTAGACAACAGGAGGAGGCTCCTGGGTGACCAGCTCTGAAGAGTTCTGTAACTGTGGGGCTCCCCTGGCCCCCAAACCTCTCCCTTGTGGCCCCAAATGAATGGCTCAGAAATCCTTCAAGCCCATAACCCGAAATGCCCACATTTTTCTCTATTTGCCTCAGCATCGGGTCCTTCAGTGATTTCTGCCACTGCCCCGCTCCACTGCAGCCTGACAGGGAAGCCTGCCTGGGTCCAGCCCTGGGAGCAGGCCCCGTCCTCAGGGACCCATTCAGCACCGTGTGCACACTCAGGAGCTGTCCCTTAGCACCTGGGCTCTGGGACAGGCTCTCCCCCAAGAAACAAACAAACAAACAAACAAACAAACAAAAAACACTAGGTCACGTAACAAGCCTCTCAGGAGTTCTAAGACTCGTGGCCGTGTTTGCGGGAGCTCTGGGAGTCGGCTTCCTGGGGTGTGACCCGGAAACCCATTTCCCTAACTTAAAGAAGGAAATCATGTGAAAAGAAGTCTTAAGTGGTTTCCCGAAGGGTAACAGAAGCCCGGGATAGTTTTGAGGGTGGTTTACCCACTCCTTGCTCCAAATTCTAATAAGTTACTTGCTACCTTGCTTGTTGCCATGTGAGTGATCCCAACTCTGTTTGCAGGGAAGTCATCATGGAGGATACTTAAGTAGGACTTGCTCATTTGGTCAGTAACAGAGAAGGTTGCGAAGCTTAGGAGAGCTTCGAAGAATTCCAGGAAAACGAGCTGGAACAGAAGAAATCACAGAGTCTCATTCATCCTGACACCCCTGGAGGTGGGTCAGCGCTCACCACGGCTCTAGAGACCACCGCCGCCTCCTCAGAGCTTAGGGTGCTGGGTGTACACACGGCTGCAATCAAACCAGCAGCATTGAAAGGCCTGTTCTGTTCTATCATTACATTTGTAAGCCGCTTCTCTACTTTGATTAAAATATTTTGTAATAGCTAACTGAGGACAGTCATTTTTTTAAATATATATATATATATATATATTAAATATATTTTTTTATTGATTTTGTACAGAGAGGAAGGGAGAGAGATAGAGAGCTAGAAACATCGATGAGAGAGAGTCATCGATCAGCTGCCTCTTGCACACCCCCTACCGAGGATATGCCCGCAACCAAGGTATATGCCCTTGACCGGAATCGAACCCGGGACCTCTCAGTCCCCAAGCTGACGATCTATCCATTGAGCCAAATCGGTTTCGGCGAGGACAGTCATTTTCAAGTGTTTCCTTTTTTCTGAAGTAAGAGTGGCACCCAGAAGCCAGGTGTCGAGTGTGTTACCCACTCAGCAGCTGTCCTGTCCCCTTGCCCGAACCCCCAATTCACTGCAGAATGCGTGCATCTGGGGCTGGCTGGTTTGGACTTTGTCGGGCTGCCGGTCCTGAGCCCAGGGCCTTTTGAGTCTGAGCTGGACAGGCCCCTAATTTGACCGGAGGCTCCAGGCCTGGCTTCCAGGGAAGACCCAAAACTTGGTTCTTCCACAGTCGCTCAGCTCCAGCTGCCCAGTCTGACAGTCTGCTGAGACCACCCAAAGATGGGTCCAGCTGGTAAAATGAGACATTTGCCCGCTGCAAGAAATGCTAACCATTAAAGACACATAGCTCACTCAATGGAGGGGGAGACCAGTCAGCATCTTTGAATGTATGCTATGTATGCCACAGAACACATACATGGATTAAATTGCTAAATAAATCATCCATGCAATAGCAGGCAGTTTTATATTCTTTTGACTTTGTTAATTGTTTCCTGACATCTGAAGTATTCGTTTCAATCTTAATCTCTACTTTTCTAATACAATCAAGGGTACACACACTTATAGTTTTCAATCAAATCTTGGTTCTAGTATCTAAGGCAAAACCAACAGCCTGAATGGGATCTCTACCACTGAGCCACCTCACAACAGACCTCAAGTTCCAGGTTGCTGTCAATTCCATCACACACGAAAGGATTGTCTTCCGCTATGATCTCCACAAATTTGGTTGATGTTAATTCTTTATTTATCATTTTAAATTCCTATAAAAGAAACAACCAATCAAACCACAAGGGACTATAATTGCAAACAGCTATATGTTTTTTACGTCCATTTATGTCAGTACAACACTGTAAGAAAACATACCAGAAATGGAGATCTTGAAAACTGATCATTTTGTCAAGCATTTGGGATTAACACTGGTAGTTACCTCTTCTAAACCAATCCTTCTAAAGTAACAGTACAGGTTTTTTTAAGGGGCATAAACACAGGACAGAGAATGGGAAAGTGGGTAATCCAGATGTGAGATAGCAACCCATCTGTACGTGGGGACTGTGGACGGCAGACTCCAGAGCAGAGGAACGGGAGCTCAGGGAGGCTGGAGGCAAGGCAGGTCCCCTGTGGGGACTCCAGAGGGAGAGGCACCTCTGAGGGCCACACAGCAGGTAGGGCTGACCAGGAAGACTCCCTGGAGGTTGAGGGGAACACCCTTTCCACCTCTAAGCTGAAGAGAAGAGGCTTGTTCTCAGACACTGAACCAGAGAACATCTGGCCTGGAAAACACATGGTTCCCTAGTTGCCATGATGCTGAAACTGGACACCTGGGAGGCTCCTCCCTCCTCATCGACCCTCCCCCTCCACTTCAACCCTAACCCTAACCCTCCCCTCCACCCTAACCCTAACCCTAACCATAACCATAACCCTTTCCTCCATTCTAACCCTAACCCTAACCCTCCCCTCCACCCTAACCATAACCCTTTCCTCCATTCTAACCCTAACCCTAACCCTCCCCTCCACCCTAACCCTAACCATAACCCTCCCCTCCACCCTAACCCTAACCCTAACCCTCCACTCTAGGAATGGTGAAAACCAGGTTTATGAACCCCAAGAGGTAGGACAAATCCTCTCTTGAAAAATTGTATATTAAGAGATCAATACCGAGCCCTTGCTGGTTGGGCTCAGTGGATAGAGCGTCAGCCTATGGACTGAAGGGACACGGGTTCCATACAGTCAAGGGTACATGTCCATGTTGCAGGTTCAATCCCCAGTAGGGGGCTTGCAGGAGGCAGCTGATCAATGAGTCTCTCATCATTGATGTTTCTATCTCTCTCTCCCTCTTCCTCTCTGAAGTCAATAAATAAATTTAAAAAAATCAGAGGTCAATATCAACAGATAATAATGTGAACAAAAAATAAAATAAAACACTTCATTTTTCCATTATCATTATACCCCACAAAACACAGGGTATCCACTGCATGGCCTCCCTTCAGGAAGGAAGAATATGGTAAGCAAAAAGAGGGGGAAATACAACAAACTTTCCTTTTCCTCTTGAGTTTTATAAATTATGCCTTGACAGTTGACGCAAAAATTATAACACTGTCAACCTAATTTAAAGAGGAAGTATCAATGATAAGCGGTAGGGTGAAGAGACATAAAGAGAAGCAGGGTTTCTGTATTAGCAAAGTGATGACACCAAGATGAAATTCTAAAAACTTCCAAGTGACCCACAGGAAGGCAAGGTAAAAGAAAGCAGAGAAATGAAAAACAGAACAAACAAAATAATTGAAAAATTAAATGGCAGACTTATGCCTAACTACATTAAAATGGTCTATCACCAATTAAAAGACAAATATTGGCGGATATTGCTGGTATGGATGTAAAATGGTCTGACCGCTCCAGAAAATATTTTGCCAGTTAAAAAATTTTAAAATATTTTTGCAAAACCCAACCACTACAATCTTGTGCATTTATCCCACCTCCTCCTTAAACGGCAAGTTCGGCATCGATAAAGGTACCGAAGGCCCCCATGGCACAGTCTCCTGCGTGGGTGCTCCGTTTCCACCCATCTGCTGCCACAGCCCCGTGGAATTACTCCTTTCTGCCCCAGGAGACCGGGAGACGTGGCTGTGAAGACCCATCCCAGAGCTTCACCTCACCGCTCACGCACCCTGGCTAGCATACGCTTCTTTTAATTAAAATATTTGCTTGCCCTGACCGATTTGGCTCAGTAGATAGAGCATTAGCCTGCAGACAGAAGGGACCCAGGTTCGATTCCAGTCAAGGGCATGTACCTTGGTTGTGGGCACATCCCCAGTAGGGGGTGTGCAGTAGGCAGCTAATGGATGTTTCTCTCTCATCGATGTTTCTAACTATCCCTCTCCCTTCTGTGTAAAAAATCAATAAAATATATTTTAAAATAAAACAATGTGCTTACTTTGAGCATCCAGAGGAAGTGCCGCATCTTCATGGTGGGCTCATGGGGTGGCATGGCGCTCGGCCTGCAGTGCGCCTTGTAGATCTCCCAGCACATGTCCGCGTAGTTCATCGAGTAGAGTGACTGCTGCTGCCCACTGAACAAACTGCCTAGAAACCCCACAGGAAGGCAAACACGTGAAACATGGTTACAACACGACACGCTGAATGAAGGCGCCAAGAAGAGTCCTGCTGGCTCTGTAGTTACCTTTCACGTAGCAGGCGTTGGGGTGAATGTTCTCAGTCATCAGCTTGGTGAAACACAGAAAGAGCGAGGGACTTCTGTGTCTGTGATTAAAAAGATACGGTTACGCCCCCCTCCAGGAGGAGGGCCGGATCCCCCTCTGTGGGCTCGGGAGCCGGCTTCTAACAGGCAGAGTATGGAGAGGAGAAATGGTGAGTGTTCGGGAGACAGCCTGCTGTCACCGTGTAAGCAGGTGGTCCAGGCTCACACCGCCAGCAATGAGACAGATGTCAGATTCCCTGATGGGATGGGACGGGAAGGGCAGCTCCCCTCCCCGATCTTCCGCAAAACCGTCAGGCTCGGCGTAAGGAGGGGGAAGCTCTGAGACCCAAACCGAAGGGTGTTTTATGTGGAATAGCTGGCCGATATTCTTCCACAGTGTCGAAGTCTGAGAAACTATCACAGGTGGTAGGGGACTTTACACAGTGTGGGATCCTGGGTTAAATCCCGGAACAATAAAGGGACAAGGTGGGGAAATGTGGGAAATCTAATCTGTATCATAAAAGGCTCTCCCTGTCGGGCGGGGTGCCGGCAGCGACCGCAGAGCGTGCGAGGCATGCGGGGCAGCGGACATGGGCCCGATGGCAGGCCAGGCCTAGGACCACACATGCGCACGATTTAATCGGAGCCTCTAGTGGAGTCTATGATTTACTTCATGGCACTGCAGCCATGTTAGTTCCTTAATTTCCATACGTACACCTTGATCCTGCAAGACGCTATTCGGGAAAGCGGTGAAGGGTATGCATGCCAATTTTGCTCTGAGAGAGACAGGAAGTTCTGGCCGAAAGTCAAGTTGGTTGTGACTCTTTCTGAATAAAACCCTGAGAGTTATTTGCAGTTCCTGAAACATGACGACTCACATCTGAAGAGTTCCACATTTAAAGCTCAAGTTGCAGGTTTGATCCCCAATCAGGGTGCAGACAGGAGACAACTGATCAGTTTCTCTCTCTCTCTCTCTCTCTCTCTCTGAAATCAATTTTTAAAAAAGAAAGAAAAGAGCACAAATGTAACTGCCTGCGTCCTCTCCCAGGGTCCAGAAGTAGACTTACTGGAATTCTTTGTGATGAATGTGGTAAGCCAGCTGCAGGAGATAATTCAGAAATATTCTCAAAAGTATTTTTGTAAATGGAGAATGAATCTCTTCAACTGGTATGCCACTGTATTCTAAAACAAGAAAGTTGGAGAGGATGATTAGTATTTTCTAAAATCTTCTCTTTTATTTTCTCCCGCTACACAATCCCAACTGAGAACTTTTCTTCCTAGAGAAAGCTCTGAACTGTACATTGCATCCACCTGACAATGAAGTCCCGCTCAAAAGATCTTTATCTAGTCACTTATACAAGAAGCTTTCAAGGTCTCGTGTCCCAGTGTGTTTCCAAGTTTTCTGAGCCTGATTTGATTAATGCTGATAATTCTAAATGGTCTCTAGGTCTATTTCAAACACTCAAATTTGAAGTAGTTATAATATTTTTCAAGGAGATAACTTGAGGCTTTCAGTCCTGCCTCCCAGAATTCAGCTGGGAGGAGTAACACCTTCAAAGTCACTAAATTTACTTCATGAGCTTTATAATTTGAAATTGAGACCAAGACCAAGACTATCTAAAGCCTTTTCTAGGCTTTTCTATGCCATCCCCCGACACCTTCTGCTTCTGACCCGACAATTTAGCATGTTTTTACTATAGACAAGAGGTAGGCACACTTGACAAGAGGTAGGCACACTTCTCTGCAGAAGGTCAGACAGTAAATACGTTAGGCTTTGTGGGCAAGTCTTTGCCACCACCACTCTGTTCTGGCGTTTTAGGGAGAAGCCGCTACAGACAACAGGTACAGAAATGGGCATAGCTGTGTTCCAATAAAACTTTATTTATAAAAACAGGCAGGGGGTCCCTGCTTTGCTGACCCTTCCGGCTGTAGATGGCCATGGTGTTGCTATCACATCACCAGATGCCTCTTCAAGTGCGTTTGAAGCACCTTGAGCAGAAAAAAGCCACGTGCTGATTTCTGCAACACCCATCCTGGCCTCTGCCTTCACCCCTCAGCATCTCCCAATGGGGTGACCAGATGGCACACTCCTCTCTGAACTGAACGGTGTGCCGGACCTGGAACACTCACCACTTAATACCCTGTCCATGTCGGCGAGAGTGATCTTATGGTGATGGAATTTGCAATCCTTCAGAAACCTCCAGAACTGGAGCTTCGTCATCAGAAAGGTGTTGTCCGGGGAGTGCTCACAGCCCAGGCTGCTGTAGAAGCTGTAGATCCTCCTTAGCTCCGTAATGTTTCTCAGGACAGCGTATTCCACCTGGAGGGAGAAAGCCACATCTATCTTCGTCTCTCCCGAGGAGAACGAAGCAGGAGAAACGCCCGTTTTCTCTATTCATGAGATGACACGTGGGAAGCAGGAGCATTTGCCTCTGGTCACTGTGAGGGCTCAGGGAGGACTGTATCCTCCCCACCTGACCCCATGCCAACAGCGTGCGGTTTCTGAGTGACAGGAGAAAACCTGCGGCCATCTGGACGAGGGGACCCCTTTCTTGGTGCTCGGGGCCAGCAGCCGGTATGCAAGGCCGCCATCACATCCTCTTGGCCACAGACAAACACCCCTCAGGAGCAGACATAACACTCCCAGACAACAGACCAGCAAATCCAATCTCGCAACGTCTTTAAAAATCGACCGTGTCCACACCAAGCGGGGTCTATCCTGGGACTGCAAGGCCAGTTCAACCTCTGAAAAGTCAGCCAGTGTAAGTCTCCGTATTGATAACTAAGAAGAAAGAGCGCCTGATCGCATCAACGCATTTGACAAAATGGGTTCCTGATGGGCACCCTCAGCAGACTGGGTGGGGGAAGGCATGGTGAGCGGGGGCACTGACAGAGGCGGGTTGTGGGGAGAGCTGGATGTCAGGGCCCCATTAACCAGTGACATTGACTGACAGCAAAGGCAGCCGTTCAGATGGCAAAGGGTCTGTACACAGCCAGGAGGCTACGGCTCGCTCCAGCTGAGATGAGAATGGTCCAGAACCGGCTCAGGAAAAGACACCCACCCTTGGACAAAATGATTCTGAGAACAGAAAATAAGACATATGATCCTGAGAAGACACCAGGTATACCCAAACGAGGGACAGTCTTCAGAGTAACAGACCAGCGCCCTTCAAAAGCCTCCAAGTCAGGAGAGCCGGAGGAGCCGCCCAGACTGGGGGAGGCCAAAGGAAGGGGACCAGGCTGGGTGGGCCCCGGAACGGAAGAGGCTTCAGGAGAGCTGCTGAAACACAAAGTCTACACCAGTGTCCATCAACTGTAATTGAAAAGTCAATTCTTTAAAAAAACATACTTAAGCCTAAATACAAATTTGTGACAGTGCGAAAGGTCCTTACCTGCTTCTTTTCCTCTGCTTGCTCCCCCTGAGGGTACATGTTTAGCAACAGAACGAGGTCTAGCTCGATGCTCGAGCCCAGCACAGACATGCTCTCGCTGCCGTTAAGCCTTCTGACAATCTCTAGCAAATGGAGGAAAACACTGGGGATAAATGGGACAGGCAATGGTGGCATTTTCCAGCACTATGCCAATTCCCCGAAGACGTGTGATACAAGGGCATTCCGAAACCCTAGCAAACAGACGGCATCGCACACCTGAAACCAGTGTAATTTCATTAACCCATGTCCCCCAGCACACTCAGGAAATGAGTCAATAGGCAGTCGCTCCAGGAAGCTTGTGCCTTCTGGGGTGGTGAGGGTGCTGTGCTGCGTGGAGCCTGGAGAATGAGGCCAATGAGCTCTCAGCCGGCAGGGGGCCCTCCCTACCGGCACTGGAAAGTGCTCTGGACCTGCTCCCAAGGTCAGGCGCTGCAGACGGGTCTTGGTATTGTAGTGATTCATCGTCGTCGAGTCTTGGAACCTCCGCTAAGTGGTCATTGGAAAAAGGGCCAATATACACGCGTCCGTTCTTCAAAGTTATCCGGCCCTGCAGATACAAAGGTAACTTTTGAAGTTTAGGGGAAAAGTTTCTTAGGAAGCCATTGGTTAATGTACATCAAAATCTTTCTCGAGAATTTGGAGTTTTGCCCTGGCCCACTTGGCTCAATGGTTAGAGAGTCAGCTCACAGTGGTGTCTCGAGTTCAATTACCAGTCAAGGGCATGTGCTTGGGGTGCAGTTTTGATCCATGGCCCCAGTTGGGGTGTGTATAGGAGGCAACCAATTGATAGGTCTCTCTGACATGATGCTTCTCTCCCTCTCCCTCTCTCCCTCTCTCCCTCTCTCTCTCTCTCTCTCTCTCTCTCTCTCTCTCTCTCTCTCTCTCTCTCTCTCCCCTCTTCTCCTCCTTCTGTCCCTCCCTTCTACTCTTTCTAAAAATCAATGGAGAAAAATATCCTTGGGTGAGGATTAACAAACAAACAAGTTGGGAGTTGGGAGTTTAAGATATGCACTTAGTCCACACATAATCAGGTTCCTAGACTCTCATGTCACTGCAGAAATCCTCCCTCTCCTCTCTTCTTGCTGTATCTGCCTCACAACCTCTCCCCAATTGTAAACACCCCTAGGTCACAGAATGTGTCTTATTAAACTATGCTAATGGCCAGCAGAGTGCCGTCACAGAAAAAGGACTCTTGGTATTTGTGAAACCCAGGCCAGTCATCAGTCTGATTCAGAGATGGGCAAATGACCCAATTCAGTTCAGTGAGCCTCAAGATGTTTGTGGAAAGCTTCTTGAAGAAAAGTTTCTGCTCTCTTTCTACTTAGTGTGAAATGTGGATGTGAAGGCAAGGACCACAGCAGCCATCTTGCAATCATGAGGGAGGAGCAGCATAAGGGTGAGACTGACATGGCAGGGGACATCATAGGTAGATAGGTAGATATTAGGTCTAGTAATAATTAATGTCGTTTTCTAATACTTTTTAAAATCAAATTTATTTAAACAATACAACAAAATTTAATCAACAATATAGTTGCCGTTGTTTTCTACTACTTGTGCCCAACGCTCAGGAAGCATTTTAATCCCTCTGTTGTAAAATTCTTGTGATTTTGATGCAAAAAAATCGGTCAATGCATTTTTGAGGCATTCTTCATCATTAAATTTTTTTCCAAGAAGAAAGTTTTGCAAAGAACGAAACAAATGGTAATCGGAAAGGGCAATATCAGGAGAATATGCAGGTTGAGGGAGAACTTCCCATTCCAACTGGCGCAGTTTTTCAGCAGTGATTCTTGTAGTATGCGGTTGTGCGTTATCGTGGTGAAGAATTACGCCCTTCCGATTAATCAGCGCGGGTTCTTTTTCTCTTAAAGCTTGGGCTAACCTTTCCATTTGGGCACTATACACTGCACTTGTAATGGTTTGGTTAGATGGTAAAAGTTCATAATGAAGAATTCCTTTAAAATTCCACCAAACACACATCACTTTTTTCGCATGCAAGTCAGGTTTTGGCGTGGGCTGCGGAGCCTCATTTTTGTCCAACCATTGAGGCCGCCTTTTCAAATTAACATACAGCACCCATTGTTCATCTCCGGTAACAATTTGCTCTAAAAACGGCAAATGGTTTTGACGAGAGAGGAGCGAACTGCAAATTGTGACTCTTTGATTACGGTTGTTGTCAGTCAACTTATGAGGAACCCATTTTCCAAACTTTTGGACTTTGCCAAGTGCACGCAATTGATTGGAAATTGTTTTTTGTGAACAATTTAAAGTTGTCGCAAGCTCTTGTTGGGTAATTTGAGGATTTTGCACCAAAAGAGCTTGAAGAGCTTCTTGATCAAAATTGGACACACGGCCTCGACCACTCTTGTCATCTAACAAAAAATTTCCCTCGCAAAATTTCTCAAACCAACGCTGGCATTTTCTGGCGCTAACTGCATCTTGACCAAGAGCACTACAGATGTTTTTTGCAGCCTCACTTGCTTTTCTTCCTAATTGGAACTCGTAAAGCATGCAGTGCCAAATATGCTCTTCATCCGCCATCTTCTTAGCCCTAGTTTTGCAACAAAAACCTAACCAAACACAAACTTTTTCAAGCAAAACTTGTTAATTGCACTTCACACGTTCTGTAGATACCACGTGTTTGAAGGTTATGTCACTACAAGTCAACGCCAAGCAAGATTTTAAACGAATGTTTAAAAACGACATTAATTATTACTAGACCCATAGATAAAACCTGGCAACAATAAGCTGCTGAATCAAACCAACATAGAACCCCATGTTATTTTTAATAATTTATTGAAGATTAAGCTAGATTTTCTACACACACACAACCTCTAGATATCAGGAAACTATGTTGGAATTATGTTTAAATTTGTGTAATCGTCTGAACAAAGCAGGAAGTTATCCCATGTGCTGTATTTTGAGTGCTTTACATAGTCTTTGAAATGTAACCTCACAGGTCTGCACTCACCATGCCATGTTTTTTATTGGAAACCCACTCCCCCTCATATATGGCTCCACTGGCGTAGTAAAACTTCCCGTGGCCATGACGACATCCATCTACAAAATTCCCTCTGTATTCGTTTCTCAAAGGATACTGGGTGTTGGGGACTCTCTTTAGAAACCATGTGTGTGTTCCTAAACCATTCTGAAAAGAAAGGAAATGCACATGAGACATGTTCAAGGTACTTCCTCCTCGTATTGAATCTGTTGACAATTAGGTAAAGGTTAAAAACAATGACTTGTTTGAAGGGGCAAAGAACATGGACTTCAGGGTCTCACAGAATTGGGTTCAGTCTCAGCTCAGCTCCTTCCTAACTAGCCTTCTGACATCAGGCAAATTATTGAAGCCTTTGTCTTTCATCTGTAAAATGGAAGTAATACTACTGTGCAGGTTGGGTGCAAAGACTGAAGATGGTGCATAGAAAGTGCCTGGCTTCATAGTGATTATTTTAGTTTTTATTTAATTTCTTTTTAACATGCAGATTGATAAAAATATGTGTGTGTGTGTGTGTGTGTGTGTGTGTATATCTATCTATCTATCTATCTATATATATATATATATATATCTCCCAGAGGTAACCTCGACTAAGCCCTAAACATGTATACACCTGGCAACAGAGTTTCGAAATATATGATGGATCTGAAAGGAGAAATAGACAAATCTTCAATTAAACTTGGGCACTTCAACACTCTCTTAGACATGAATAGAAATGTAGACAGAAAATGAGTAATGATCAGAAGATCTGGACAATAACGTTAATCTAGCTGACATCTGTGGACTATTCCACTCAACAAAAGCAGAATTACATCTAACATTCACCAAGACAGTCATTAATTGGGCCGTAAAATAAATATGTTTAAAAGAAATGCAATCAGCCGAAACTGGTTTGGCTCAGTGGATAGAGCATCAGCCTGCGGACTGAAAGGTCCCAGGTTCGATTCTGGTCAGGGGCATGTACCTGGGTTGCAAGCACATCCCCATTAGGGGGTGTGCAAGAGGCAGCTGGTCGATGTTTCTCTCTCATCGATGTTTCTAGCTCTCTATCCCTCTCTCTTCCTCTCTGTAAAAAATCAATAAAATATTTTTTTTAAAGAAAAAAAAAAGAAATGCAATCATACAAAGTGTATTCTTGGACTACAGTGGAATTAATAAACTATAAAATCAATGACAAAAAGCTTTCTGGAAAAATCTCCAAATATTTAGAAATGAAACAACATACTTCAAAATAATTTATAGGCTACAGAGTAAGTCATAGGGAAATTAAAAAACCTGTAGTATTAAATGCTTATATTAGAAAAGATGCAAAACTCTGGGGAGGAAGGGCATGTATCGAGTGTGTGGGGGAATTGGTAAGATATGTACGAATATAATATCTTAATTAAAAAAAAAAAAAAGAAAGTGACTAGAACTATTATCTGATTTTAGCAAAGTCCCTGGTTACCAGATTAATATGTTACAAGATATCATCAGAAAAACCCTAACAATATAAACTATATGAAATGAACCATAAAAAGTACATAGCTTCTGCCAAAACCGGTTTGGCTCAGTGGTAGAGCGTCGGTCTGCGGACTGAAAGGTCCCGGGTTCGATTCCGGTCGGGGGCATGTACATTGGTTGCGGGCACATCCCCGGTATGGGGTGTGCAGGAGGCAGCTGGTCGGTGTTTATCTCTCATCGACGTTTCTAGCTCTCTATCTCTCTCCCTTCCTCTCTGTAAAAAATCAATAAAAATATTTTTAAAAAGAAAAGAAAGTACATAGCATCTAATGTGTAAATAACAGCCTCAGTCCTCATAGATATTGTGTGCATTTTGCATTCACCAGTGGTAGAACAGAATCTAATTTGTGTGGAAGACCTTCTGAGCAAAGTAAATAGGAAAACAGCGTTACAAAAGTCTAGTTTAGACCAGGAAATTGTAAGTTGAGTTTCTAAATGTAGCAGAGTTTGAATTTCAGACTGCCGTACAACACCATACCAAATAACATATGTGCTGTGGATCAGCAGAGCGTCCACCTCTGGGTACACGCTGCTGAAACCAGCTGGCGGGGTACCTGGACACCATTCTCCCACTGACCACTGTACTCTTCGTTAATTGTCAGCCATTTCATAGTGCCTTCCCCATGGCGCACGTTGTTTTCCCACTGACCTTCGTATATATTTCCAGACTTGTAACTAGGACAAAAAACAAACACAAACACCTCACAACAATTCAAAGCAATCCATTATCTCATATACCTTTACCAAGACTTGCTCTTAAGACATTCTCCCTGTGCTCTTATGAAGAAATCCAACTCTCTCACTCATACAATCTACCCTGTATTTAAATTCAAAGAGTGGGTATGTGGTTGGTAAAGAAAAAAAAAAATCATCTTAAGAGGTAGAATAAATTACTTTATTAAACTATCTGATTATCTAATAGTAACAAAGTGAATAAGGGCAGTCATTTTAAATCCTTTTTTTAAAATATATTTTTATTGATTTCAGAGAGGAAGGGAAATGGAGAAAGCAATAGAAACATCAATGTTAAGAGAGAAGCATCGATCAGCTGCCTCCTGCCTGCCCCACATTGGAAATCAAGCCCACAACCTGGGCATGTGCTCTGAGAGGGAATTGAACCATGACCTCCTGGCTCATAGGTCCACGCTCAACCACGGAGTAGCACCAGTGGGCCTAAATTTTTAAAAATAATTCCCTGGCCACAGCTGCTCTGGCTCAGTGGGTAGAGGATTGGCCCACGGATTGAAGGATCCCAGGTTCGATTCCAGACAAGAGCGCGTACCTTGGTTGCAGGCTTAATCTCCTTTCCCCAGGGCCCATGTGGGAGGCAACCAATCAATGTGTCTCTTTCACATCAATGTTTCTCTTTCTCTCTGTCTCTCCCCCTCCCTTCCACTCCCTCTAAAAATCAATGGAAAGCCCTGGCCGGTTTGGTTCAGTGGATGGAGCATCAGTCTGCAGACTGAAGGGTCCCGGGTTTAATTCCAGTCAAGTGCATGTACCTTGGTTGTGGGCACATCCCCAGTAGGAGGTATGCAGGAGGCAGCTGATCCGTGTTTCTCTCTCGATGTTTCTGACTCTATCCTTCCTCCTTCCTCTCTGTAAAAAAAATCGATAAAATATAAAAAAATTTAAAAAATAAAAGTCAGCCGGGACCGGTTTGGCTCAATGGATAAAGCGTCAGCTTAAGGACTGAAGGGTACCGGGTACGATTCTGGTCAAGGGCATGTACCTTGGTTGCGAGCATATCCCCAGTGGGGGGTGTGCAAGGGGCAGCTGATTGATGACTCTCTCTCATCGATGTTTCTAATGCTCTATCCCTCTACCTTCCTCTCTGTACAAAATCAATAAAATATATTTTAAATAAATAAATAAATAAATAAATAAATAAATAAATATCAATGGAAAAATATGCTTGGGTGAGGATCAATAACAATAATAATAATAATAATTTCCTGAAGTATTATAATTAAGTGATATTTTCCCCATAAACATTTTTACTTTATCAGCTCAATCTAAAAATCAAGCAAATGTGCCAACATTCATCAGAAAATGTAACCTGTATCACGGAGATCCATGACTAACACAGAGAACAAAGAAAGGCCATTTTTACAAACTGAAGTAAAACAGAATGATGGGACACATTTAATATGGCACCTTTCTACATTTTCTGTAGAACATGTTCCTTACTATGGGGTTATGTTTGGGTTCACTGGAATACTCCGCCTGCTTCTATAGCAAATGCATTCCCTGGGGTTTCCGCCCCTTACCTTTACAGAGCCTTGGTGGGCACCCTCAGGCCCCGCACGCTTTGCACCCAGACCCAGAAGGAGGAGGGGTGACACCTACTGTCTTATCCCCCAGCCTTTTTTGATGTTGTGAACCCAGTCCCCCTCGTAGCAAGAGGTGCCCTCCTCATTGTAATAAATGGAGCCCTGAAAGAAATAATATCATTTTTTTTAAAAATCAAGTTTCATAAGACAATGGTTTCTTATAGGTAAAGGTAAGAATATACTCTATAAATTTAAGGAGCCTAAACTATACCGAAGTCAAACATCACACGTAAGCAAGACATACAATCTGTGACACATTTCTGTTTCGTAGTCAAGACTATAGTCAAATGTCGGCCAAGGGAGGATAAGATAATGTCGCAAACCAGTTACTCCTTATTAGCAAAGGGCCCCTCGAGGGCATGAACATTCCTCGAGATCAGTATACTCATTACCTTCATAACTTTCAGGCAGATATGTGCCTAAAGAAACCCTGTTTTGCCCTAAGCAGTTTTGCTCAGTAGTTAGAGCGTTGGCTTGTGGACTGAAGGGTCCCAGGTTCGATTACAGTCAATGGAATATACTTCAGTTGCGGGCACATCCCCAGTAGGGGCTTTGCAAGAGGCAGCTGATCAATGTTTCTCTCTCATCCATGTTTCTTTTCTTTTTCTTTTTTTATATTTTATTGATTTTTCTTACAGATAGGAAGGGAGATGGATAGAGAGCTAGAAACATTGATGAGAGAAAACATCGACCAGCTGCCTCTTGCACACCCCCTATTGGGGATGCGACCGCAACCAATGTATATGCCCTTGACCGGAATCGAACCTGGGACCTTTCAGTCTGCAGACCGACGCTCTACCGCTGAGCCAAACTGGTTTCGGCTCATCGATGTTTTTAACTCTCTACCCCTCTCCCTTCCTCTCTGTAAAAAATCAATAAAATATATATTTTTAAAAGAAATCCTGTTTGTCACCTAAGTGAACAGTAGCGCCTTTCATATAACTGAAGGTCACTCACTTATGTAGCAAACCGTTTTTTCCTTATCCATTTGGACACCTTCCTTAGCTCACTCTAGGGTAGGGGTGTCGAAGTCAATCAGAGAAGGGGCCAAAATCTAAAATCCAGCCTAAATCGCGGGCCGAATGGTTTACTGAACAGTCATAAACTGTCATTGTGATGGAAACGCAGCGGAGTGCAGTGATGACAGCGCGGTGCGGGCCACATTGCAAGGCCTGGCGGGACGGATTTGGCCCGCGGGCCTTGTGTTTGACACATGTGCTCTAGGGGATGGCCAAGGGGCAAGGTATTTGGATCTACACTGAGTGGCCTCAGCTTGCTTGCTTGTTCACTGGTATGAGTGCGTGCGTGTGTGCGTGTGCGTATGTGTGTGTGCGCACGTGCTTTTTCTATCTTCCTCATTGTCAAGCTAACTTGTTTCTTCTTGCAGCCATTCAGGTGCCTCAGGGGAGAACCTCCAACATATCCCAAGTGATCTGCAAAGAGCTAAAACCAAGCCAAACAACACAACCGAACAGTCCAAACCCAGTAAAGTGTGGATTACAATGGTAAACTTTTTTCTTGTGACATTTTCTAAAAACACTGCTGCAGTATTTTATTGTCCCACACAGAAGAAAACAGCCGTGCCAAAAACAGCCATCTTGCTTAAAAGTGAACAGAACCTGCACTGCAGGTGTGGGTGTAAATGGTGTGGCCACTGCGGGAAACAGCTTGGTGGTTTTACAAACATTAAAAAAACAAGGGACCACGTGACTGAGTGATTCCTCTCCCAGATATGTACCCCACAGATCTGAAGACAAGCCTGCATACACTCATAGCAGCACTACTCGCAAACGCCCAGCAGCAGGCGTATGGATAAACCAACCGTGGTTCATCCTCACAGTGGGACGTCCTTCAGCCAAACAAAGGAGAGAAGTACCCACACAGGATGAACCTCAGAAGCATGATGCTGAGTGAAAGAAGCCAGACACAACAGGTATGTTTCTACTTCATACAAAACGTCCAGAATAGATAAACCCATAGAAACAGAAAGCACATTGTTGAGACTAGGGGGGGGCACAGTGGAAGGGGGCTCTGGAGCAACTACCTAATGGTTTTGTTTTCTTTTGGGACAAGAAAGAGGTTGTGGCCAAAACTGGTTTGGCTCAATGGACAGAGCGTCAGCTTGGGGACTGAAGGGTCCCGGGTTTGATTCCGGTCAAGGGCATGTACCTTGGTTGCAGGCATATCCCCAGTGGGGAGTGTGCAAGAGGCAGCTGATTGATGACTCTCTCTCATCGATGTATCTAACTATCTCACTCCCTTCCTCTCTGTAAAAAATCAATAAAATATATTTTAAAAAAAAAAAAGGAAAAAAAAAAGAAAGAGGTTGTGTTTGCACAACCTTGAGAATGTACTAAATGCCACTGACTTGCTCACTCTAAAATGGTTTCTCTCCTGGGGTGTGAATTTCACCCCAATAAACACACATCCCAGGCACAGAGGGCCATCCGCGGCTGCCTCACCCACCTTCCCGTGCCTCTTGCCCTGGCACCAGTGGCCGATGTAGGACACGGGTTGCGTGCTGCACTTGAACACACCAAAGCCATTGCGCATGCCGTTGATCACTTCTCCTTCGTAGGTGCTGCCATCCGGCCACGTGTACTTGCCTCGGTTCATGGGGATGTTTTTCACAAAGTCCCCCTGAGGCAAAAAGGCCAAAAGAGTCAGCAAGCAGGCAGGGAGCGATTTCTGAGCTTGGGGGGGGGGGGGACGCGGTGGCAGGGGTGGTGGTGTCTGAGACACATCCTCGACTACCCATCTATACCTGCCTCTCCTCCCATGGAAACAGGCAACTACCCCCAGCTCCCACCCCTCCCCCCTTCCTTCACTACCCAGCCCGTCCGCCCTCACCGGGCGCCTCCCCTGGTAGAAGCCACGGCAGGAGAATGCAGCTGGAAGGCTGTGTGCAGTCTGAGCCCCAAGCAGCAAGCAGGGGGGACACCGGCCACGGGAACATGGATTCTAGGAACCCACCCCGAAGGAGGCTGTGAGTGGGAGTGGACACCCGATTCCTCTCTTGGAGGGCACTTTGGTTCTGGCACATGATTTAAAAATGCATCCTCCCCTCAGCCCAGCAAGACGGGTGAGGAGAGTTGCCCATAACGGAGCACAAGCAGCCAGCGGAAACAGGGATGGCTGCATGGAAGGCTGCAGTTCGATCTGGAAGCAACGAACAGACAGAGGAGAGCGTATAATAAACTGTAAAAGGCAGAAGCCCAGGTCACCCAAGTGTGCTGTTCTTGCACAGAACACAGAACCTCCCAGAACGAGTGACACTGCTAACAATACCACAGGGTCCCGGGCGGTGACCAGTTACTTTTCACCTACGTTCTTTGGTTCTGTGGGTTCCTTTAATCCATCTGCTGAATTACCTTTATGAAAGTAGTATGTTTCATTGTAGAAACCTGACCATTCAGTCTCATAATTATAGTTTAGAACTACGACATAGTCTATGCTTTACCTCATATTTCACTCCATCGGCCCAAATGTAAGTCCCTTGTCCATGCATGAGTCCTTCTGAAAACATACCCTGCAAACAGAAGGACGGCAAACCCCTGGGACCAGTCCCTGATGTCACACGACAGCTTCCTCCCCCGTCACCCGCACCAGCACGACCGTGCTTGTCCACACAGAACCCGCTTTGAGCCGGCATCCATCCTGCTCTAAGACGGGTCTGAGGAGGGGCCCGAACAAATCCATTCCCTAGAGCTTCCACCAGGCAGGCAGCCTGGGCAGTTGTTAAACGGGAGCCTGAATTCAATCTGTGTCTGCATTTTGAGAGTTTTGGTGACGTAGGAAATTGAACATGTTGTATGCAAAATGGGAAAAATTCGGGGAACTAAAACTCATGCCTGTGGCCTCAAACACAAAAATGTGTGACCCTATAATAATCACATATTTCTCTGCTAACCTGAATGAAAGAATGAATAAATGAATGAATGCCCTCACTTAATAAAGGCAAAAAGTGAAAATGCCCCCAAAGTATCCAACAACAATGGCACAGCTGAAGTGGACACTACGCCATGTTTAAGTATTATTATGGAAGAGGGAACAGGGAGCTAGTGTTTGATAGGCTAGGAGTTTGTTTGGGATGGTGAACCAATTCTGGAACCGGACAGAGTGAAGTGTGTATAGCCTGCTGAGTGCACTTAATGCCACTGAATCGGACACTACAAATGGTTGAAATGATATTTTATGTTATATATGTTCAACACAATGAAACAATTTGAGTTATGAAATTATGTAGCAATACAAAGTGAAAAAAGATACAAGATGTTATGTACAAAACGAATATGCCAAGCCCTGGCTCAGTGAGTTGGAGCATCGGTTCCATACACCAAAAGGTTGTGGGTTCGATTCTCAGTCAGGGCACATACCTAGGTTGCAGACTCAATCCTTGGTCAGGGTGTAGGAGGCAACCAGTCAATGTTTCTCTCCCACGTCGATGTTTCTCTCCGCCCCCCCCCCCCTAATTCCTCTCTAAAATAAACAAACATATCCTCAGGTGAGGATAAAAATTTTTTTTTTAATTTTTAATGAATATTCCCAGGTGAAAACACTGATACATCCATTCAAGAAATGAAAGGAACACAGCAAATTAAAAACATTTATGGCAAGAGGATGATGATACTGGCCTTTATTCCTCATTCTTTACTGTAGTGACCTTAATGTTTGTATCATAAATAAAGATCAATAAAAGGACTATTTCAGTTGTGCTGAGCCATGTTTTTACCTTAAAATATGGAGACAGTGTTTAAAATAAAATCAGCAGTCAGGACTTCCAGGTTGTTTTGGAGAATCAGTGTGTTTGTCTGGTGCACATCTGAAACTATCACCACCCCACGCCCTCCTCCCTGCCCAGCCCGGATGTGTCACTCGCCTGGTAGGTGCAGCCTCCCTGGAAGACAGCAAAGCCTTCTCCCTCATAGAGTCCATGGACTTTCTCCCCTTCATAGCTACAGAGAAACGAGATTCAAGGTCATGACCTGAGTGAACCCACGTGACAGGGGGTTAAGATACATAATTAACGTGAATGAAGAAGCACTTGTCACATTTATTCACCCAATAAACACTCCCCGAGGGCCGCAGGATGCTTGTCCCTCCTACACGCCAGGCCAAGAACTGAACTGTGTTCACTGAGGACAGACAATAAACAGGAAACAAAGGAACAAGAAAATTCCAGCCGAGACCGGTTTGGCTCAGTGGACAGAGCGTCGGCCTGCGGACTGAGAGGTCCCAGGTTCGATTCCAGTCAAGGGCATGTACCTTGGTTGCGGGCACATCCCCAGTAGGGGTGGTGCAGGAGGCAGCCGATCGATGATTCTCTTTTTTTTTTTTTTTTTTTTAAGAAAATTCCATATCGAGTTCAGTTTTTGGGAAAGAAGTAACCAGGGAGGAGGCTACTGTATACAGTCAGTCAGGGTGGAAGCCTTTCAGAGGACAGGAGCGTTGTACTTAGACCTAAAGGGTCCGAGACAGAACATCCATTAGAAAAACGCCGGGAAGAGGACCCCAGTGAGAGGGAACAGCCAATGCAAAGGCCCCGAGGTGGGAGAGAGCCTGAGACCTCAAGCTCAGCAGAGAGGAGAGCTGCACAGCCCAGTAAGATCACCTTTCGATGATGAGGTTGGTCAGAATGGGGTCTTCGTACTGAAACGTGTCTTCCGCCTGCTGATTCTCATTTCTGGACCCCCTTTTGGATCCAGGTTCGCTTTGACCCAACTGTGGGGCGATGATTGGGGACACTACTTGTCGAGCAGAATTGCCGTCTTGCTTGGAAAGCTCTGGATTGTCGATGAGAGATGAGGGGGAGTGGGCAGCTTTATCCACCTTTTTGTCTGTTTTTCTCTTTTCTCTCACCATGGCCTTTATTTAAGTATCCGATTCCTTTGAGAGCTGTTGGAGCTTTACGTGGAAAGATAAAAATTATGTCTCTACAGACTTGAGGGTTTCACTCTATAGCTGAAGTGTTAGCTTTATATAACCCAATGCCATTACCGTTCTCCTAAAAGTGTGAAAAATTACAATAGGCATTACCAGTCTATAAAAATAATATAGCCTCAATGTTACGTTGGTTGTTCCTAGATATTTTTTAAATTGGAACCACTGTTGACAAATAGTGTCCCAGGAAGGGTAATCCTGTCCGTGAAAAATGGCTGCCTAACCTGAGGTCTAGCATGCTGCCAGCCCATGCTGTGAACGCCTGTCTCCTGTGGTCAAGTGCGCAGAGCCAATCCCGGCTCCCAGGTCCCCCTGCCCAGATGTGTGTTCTTGAGGAAGTTACTTCATGTCCTTCTGCCCCAGATACCAAATAGGAATAATGGCACCTTGTTTCCTTATAAGAATTAAATAAATCGATGCAGGAAACATTTCCAAAGTATGGGAAAGGGCACACGACCAGTGAAGGAGTGATGATCTCATGTCACTTTCCTGTGTTGGAACTTGCAGTCACTGGCCCCTTACTCCCTGTGCCAGGACTACCACTGGCTGAGCGAGCATCCTCTAAGCAAGCCAGAAACAGGGTGTCAAGGTCGAGCTGAGGGGTACGACACTGAGCCCTAGTGTCTGTGGCCCTCTAAAACCGGCCCCACCGAAAGCATCCCAGTCCTGGAGTACCAGGCACCATCCCTCCTAGTGTGCCCAGAGGGTACAGGGGGTGCCCTGCGCACTCTGCTGCCTGGAGGGCGTCGTCTGAACCTCCCCTGCCCCCACCTCTAGCACGTACAGTCCTGCTTCTTCTCTCCATTCAAAGCTCCCCTCGCCCTAGCCGGACTGGCTCAGTGGATAGAGCACCAGCCTGCCAGCTGACGGGTCTCGATTTGATTTCAGGTCAATCCCTGCAGGCTCAACGCCTGGCCCTGGTCCGGGGTGCGGATGGTGGGAGGTGGGGGCACCCAATCTGTGTGTCTTCTCACATTGATGTACTTATATCTCTGTCTCCCCTCCTCCTTCTCCTCTCTATAAACCAATAGAGAAATATCCTCAGGTGAGGAGTAACAACAGATGAATTACTCTTTTAAAAACAAATCACTCTCGCCGAAACCGGTTTGGCTCAGTGGATAGAGCGTCAGCCTGCAGACTGAAAGGTCCCAGGTTTGATTCCAGTCAAGGGCATGTACCTTGGTTGCAGGCACATCCCCAGTGGGAGTTGTGCAGAAGGCAGCCCATCGATGTTTCTAGCTCTCTCTCTCCCTTTCTCTCTGTAAAAAATCAATAAAAAATATATATATACATTTAAAAAATCACTCTGTCTCCACCCAACCCCATTACTGTCTTCTCAGCTAAGCTAGCTGCTCACATCTGAACTCGGACAGGCTTTTCCTATACAGGCTTTCTGGTCCCACAGCAGTGAAATCTGAACGACAGGCAAGTTCCTCTCTCCTGACGTGATTCTCATTAATCTTTTCCTGTTCTCCCTGCCTAGACACCGTGTTCTCATAACTGTTTATTCTTTCCCGAGGCAGCATAAAAGGAGCGCGTTCCTCGCGGGGGTCCCTTAGCTGGCTGCCCTTCCCCAAGGCCCTCCTCGCCCACCACGCACCGGCTCGGCTCCGTTAGGCGGTTAAGCCCTCACAAGGCCTGGGGCGCTGGGAGCTCTCCTGGGGTGCTCCCTGGGCTCGGACACCAGGCCCACCAGGTGAGCACTGCTCACCGCGGCTCTGCGAGTCCAGGCCAGACCCGCCTCCAGGCAACAGCAAGCCCCGCCCCACCCCGCCCCGCCCTTAAAGGGGCCGAGCTTCCTAAAAGCACAAGTTCTCTGCCCTTTTCGCTCCAGGTCAGGGGGCAATCTGGAGCTGGATGCACCTGACCTGGGTTCTCCCACCTCTGCTAATTGCCCCATGACCTCTCTCACCCTTCCTCTTCCCCAAAACAGAATAATTAACTCAGGTGTTAGTTTTTCTTTGCGCTGTAAACAAATCACACAAACTTGTCTAGGGGCTTAAAGCAACACAAATTTATCATCTTACCTTTCTGTAAGTTAGGCGTCCAACTGGGCCGGTTCCTTCTGGCAGCTGCAGGGAGAATCTGTTTTCTCACCTCCAGAGTCTGCCTTCCTACATCTTCCAAGTCAGTGGCTGCCTCTCCCAGGTTCCCCACGTGTAAGTCATGGGATAGACTGGGCCCACCCAGCCAAGGCAAGATAGGTCCTCCACCTCTCAGCTCATTTCTTACTCACATCTACAAAACCCCATATTCCAGGGCCTGGAGTTAGGACATGGCATCTTTGAGGCCAGAAACCCCAATTTGCAGAGTTCTCAAAAACATTAAATAAGGCCCTGCAGACAGGCCACCAGCCTGAGCATGGCACAGTAACTGGCAATACTTATTCCTTGGCTGTCCCATTACAGCGAAGAATGAATTCTAAGTTTTGGAATGGAAGCCCTCTCTCCCAGGAGGCCGAGGTCTGGGCGGGGAGGTCGAGAGCAGGGGGCGTGGCCTACACTTGCCACTTGGACTCCACAGACGGCATTTTTTAGCTGCATTTTGGCAGAGTTCAAATGGGATGAGATTCCATGAAAAACGATTTGATAAAACACAGGGATTCTTCCATCTTCATACCACATAGAGCCAGTCTCTTCAGTACCACTCCGAGCCAGTAACTGGGATGTCTTGCAGCTCACACCCCAAGGAAACCACATCATAGCATTAGATTACGGACAACTCCAAAGCTTTATTTCCCCTTGCCTGCAACAGCGCCGTGCCGCCCTGGCCACGCAGGGGAAGATTTAAAAATCATGACCCAGCTCCTCTTGGTCCTTTCTCCCAGCCGGAGAGAGAACTCTCACTGAGTTTTCCAGATTATTCCTTTTTTTAAGAAATTTTATGTACATCAGGGTTGAGAACTGTGAGCCAAGAGGACCATAATTTTAAATATATGAAATTAAACCATTACCGACTTAATTATCATTAGGCTTAGCATTGAAAAAACATGCTCTTGCCTGTACACACACACAGAGGCACGCGCACACACACACACAGAGGCACACACACAGGTGCACAAATACACACACGTAAATTCAGAACAAAAAACACTGCAGCAATACTCCACATGGTTCAAAAGGCTCTCAACATCATTTCTGAATGGCACAGCTACGTGCTGTTTTGTAAGTGGGCTAATTTTGAAACATAATGGCTAAACCCTGTCTTGCAAAACAGAAAAGTCCAGTGACAAACAACGTCAGTTTTGGGAGAGGACGTCCAGGTTGGCGATGTGCCTCATGGTCGGCCTGCCGTGGGGACAGTTCCAGGGATGGTCCATCTCCCCCATGTGCGTGATGAGTTTCTTCATCTCACTCGTGTTAAGAGCAGTTCCGATCATCACCTGAATACAGACACAACAGTTTCAGGTGTTATCGGGTCTGTGTTAGAATAACAGCTCAGCTGAATTTTTCTCTAAACAAAGCTGGACAAGGTGACAACTCAAAAACAACTTTCCCTGAGAAGTCTTCCCCATCACTGCCTTCTAACATCTCAGTGCCTACCTTCCTGTGAAACCAGCCATTTCCTCAAGGTGCCGCCACCTGCCCAGAAGCCAACCTCTGTGCCAGCCGTCCTCCCCTGTCATCTCGGCACTGCAGTGACCTCCTTACAGCCTCCCTGCTCCTCCTCGCCTCACCCACTGGCCTCCACTCAGCCACCAGGGATCCCTTTGAAAGAAGTCAGGGCTCCTGGCTCTTCACCTGAGTAACCGCGCAGGTGCACCGCCTGATCCGGCCCTCACTGCAAGCCTTCAGGCCTGAACTGCAAGCATATTCCTTCCCTCCCCCCACTGCAGCCACACTGGCAGTGCCGGCCTCAGGACCTTGGTACTGGCTGTGCCCTCTACCAGGAGACTCTCCCCCAATGTCACTTCCCCGCTCCCTTCGGGCTTCTGCCCTATGCCCCTGCCTCCTCAGAGAGCCAGCTCTCCTCGTCTACCTGCCTTTCCTCCACAGCCCATCACTACCTGACAGATACCAGGAGGTGGGCTATGCCACTCAAAACAAACGGCGGCTCTCAGAAACAAGGAATGGAGAGAGGTGACAAACCTGAAACTGGCCCAGTCCTGGAGGCAGGATAGGGGGCAGCACTCTGCCATGTTGGAGGGACACAGACAACAGACAAGTTAACAGAAACAAAGAGAGCTGTCACTCAGGGCGCTGTACCCGAGTGCTGGGAAGAGGCCACTTCGGTGGATGCTCAGGGCCCAGGGACAGAGGGGGCCAGGGATGTGGCGATGGGATGTGAGGCAGGGAACCCAGGCAGAGGGACGGGTCAGCACTCAGGGCTGCTGGCTGTCCTGGGCTTTCCTTGCCGCCTGAGGGTGCAGGCTCTGGCCATCCTGCCCTCCAGTCCTTTTGCTGCTCTTGTCTGCAGACCAGTCACTGGGCCCCTTTCCCACCTCCAGCCCGCAGTGAGTTGATGTGCAAAGCTTCATGGCACCCTGAGGACTTGTGTGCAGGCAGGGCGGCAGCAGCTCTCTACCTACCAACGTTGTTAATATCCACAGAGGTCCACAGACAAACAACATGCGTGATAGCTAACTGCGCTGGGACCAACGAACCTCTGAGAGAGAATACACTCAATGGAAGTAGAGGAAAAGCAGTAATTGTGGGGCAGAGTCAGAGATAATGCAGACATGTGGAGATGGTGTGTCAGACTGATAAGTGATGAGGCTCTATCTGTACAATAATCTGTGGCCATCACAGCCGCATGCACAATGCTGACTGCTCAGCAGCTGAGCTGAGAGCTTCTGAGGACTGGAGGGAGCAGACCCTCGGGGTCCGGGCCCATGTTGCTCCTTTACTCACAGACTTCCGACAGGCCCTGGAGGCAAACATCTGCCTGACGCGGGAGGGCCGACACATAACCCCAGGGCTGTCGCTCAGCATGAAGATCAGCTCGTCGATGTCCTGGGGTCCAAAGGTCCAATTTTTACTAGTTGGCAAGGAAATCAATTTAGCCCTTTCGGTGACGGGAGCTGAAAGAATAAAATTTGCAGAAAAAATTCATTAGTTGAAAAATGTGTTTCGTTGGAGTGCTACCTGTCCTGGATATCTGACAGAGAGGGCAGCCATCCTCACTGCTTATAAAGCACCTCAGAGACTGGTCCCCACTCTGAAAGGGCACCGTTCTAAGGTCTTCAGTGATAACTCACCCCTTTCATCGATAACAAAATCAAAGCCATTCTTCCTGAAGATCTCCAGGTTTTCCATCAGGACGGCTTCGTTGACAGCAGTCAGGTTGAGAGTCTGGGGTCTGAAAAACCAGGAGAGTCAAACCATCTCCTCAAGTCAAACGTTCCGGTATAACGCATTAAAACAATCCTGTGCGTTCCTGAATCCATTTCAAAAAGCAATGTGAATAGTAACACTTTATTGAGGTATGTGCCTTTACTGTCACAAAACTTTGCGAGAATTTCCTTTTAATTTTTTTTAAGTTCATTTCAGAAGTTAAAGTATAAAAGTAAGTTGCTTTTCATGAATCTGCCATCCCACCTGTCTTTTTCTGAATCTTCTGAAATAAAATATAACGCTTTTTTTTTTTTTTTTAATGCTGTTTGTGTGTTTTTTCTCCCTCCTCGCATAAAGACAATTGGAGAAGCTGGGGTAGATCATTACAGGCGCTGGAAAAGAGAGTAACATTTGTTTTGTACTCGACGCCTTCCTCTGCCTGAGCTGTTTCTCTCTCCATCTACCATCGGGAGATGCAGCCATCTCCTCCTGAGTTTACCAAGTCAGACACCGGTCCAGGCAGGAGACAGAATGCACAGACCCGGTCTCTGCCCAGTGGAGTAATAGTCTAGTGGGGAAGAAAGGCATCGATCAAACAGTCAAATAAATTACAACTACACTGAGAACCAGGAAGAAGAGACACCCAGTGCCCTAGGAGCATAAAGTGAGACTTGACCTGGAAAGAGAGGGGGTCAGGGAAGGATCCTCTAAGAAAA